TCAATGATTCTCAGCTCATTCTAAAAGAGACGCAAGTCAAACCATTCTTTCTAAAGCTTTTTCTAATTTTTGCCAGTTTTCACAAATACAAGGGCAAGGTCAAAACAGACAGCTGGCCACACAAAAATGGAAACTACGCTGGCCATTTCGCCACGCACATAATTCACTTTTACTTTACCTTTACGATTACCATCGGGGCAGAGTAGACCAAAGTCTTCTCCTGGATTAAGGTCATTTTCCAGCCCTGTGAAGTCAAATACACTCAGATGGCTGACAAACGCAACATCTCCTGCGCCTTCTGTCAGGCAGCGGTATGCTCCATGATACCCATAATACCTTTCCGAGGCGTTTCGTGGGCAAGTTTTCTGATTGGAGCAAATCCCGCATAGTTTGCTGGGATTGCTACCTTCTGGATTGTACTTCCTGGATAGAGCCCCTGGGGATTTGAAAAATTCGACTTAGCTTTTTGCAATGTCGGTAGCCCTTTACTCCGAATGCTATGTATGAGGTTTGCTTTATCAACTGAGTTTAATAATATACTCAATTCACCATCGTGGCCTATAAAGGCCTATAAACAGTTTCGAAAGATGACGTTTCGAGCGCCAGCCCTTTCGTAGAGGGATTATAGGTTGTGCGTGTGGCTGGTTTATTTTCGTGTTTCTTGAAAGCCCAAGAAAACATAAGTCCTCAAAACAATCTTGCTCTTAAAAGGGCTTATATATCACGGAATTCGTTGTCTTTTAAAAAAGCTAAAATGTGTCTTCTTTCGCAGCATCAATCGAATTAAAAAATAACGGTCCAGTTTTGCTATTTAAGACTATGTACACATTGAAACTGTTTTTTCTGTCAGAGAAGCAGATAAACCTCCTGTACGGAACGTCTTTCTCCGTTTGAGCTATATTCAGCATCACTTGCGAGATATCGAGAACGTGGGTGTCAGTGTAACCGAGTTTAAGAAGCTCGATTCCGATATGCTCGGTTCCAGCTCCAGCATCCAGGATTTTAAGCTGTCGGTTTTCTTCAAGTTGAGAAAAACTAGATTCACGGCAGTATCCAAGCACTCGGCGAGTGGCTTGTGGAAGAATGCACCGGCTGCACTAATTTCCTTGTCGTAATCGACTGCCCATATAACGTAAACTTGGCGAACCTCGTCGTTCTTAGATACTTTGTGGATCTCATCATAAGTATTTTTAAAGTATTTCCTGTAGTAGGCTTCGTACGTTTTGTCCCTATTCTGGCTTCGTTGCTTCCGGGCTGGCTGTGTGTGGAACTTCGCTTCGCGCCAAAAAGAGAGGTTTTGAGGAGAGGGGAAAACCGAGATACACCTAATTGCAATAACGTTGTCGTAGAAAAATGAAAAAAAAAGGAAAAAGCCAAATAATTACGCTAATTAAGCCATATTCTCAGGGTAGATTCATTTGCAGCTGCTGCATTTCCCCGCTGGAATTTTTTTGTTTTTCAGCTTTAAAACAATAGCAAATTCCAACAGGCAAACACGACGTCCATGTGCGGATGCTGCAAATGAATTCACTAGGCTTATTAGCCTAATTAATTCCTATTTGGCTTTTTCTTTTTTTCATTTTTCTTAGACAACGTTATTACAATTAGGTATATCCGAAGAAAAACATCTGCTAACAGAGAAAAATTCAACCTCCTGTTCAAACAACATTGCATGTGGCGTCAACGCCGGGACTCGAACCTAGGCCGCATTGGTGGAAGCTGCTCTCACACCATCTCTCTTCCTATTCCCGGAATTGAATTTATACTGAAGGCAATACATATAAGTTGGGTTTATCGACAAACTTAAGTAATTGTTTGTTTGATGGACTGTTAACATGTTGAGTATGACATCACCTTCCCACCTAGACTAGCTTTTGCTATTTGTGGATAGCGAGAAAACAGTAATACAGTGGAACCTCTCCTCTGGGACACCGCCATTCATAGGATACAAAACTTGACCGGGAAAAAATGTTCACATAATCTTTGTATTTGTTTCCTTTATTAAAGGGACACTCTTCCTGGGTCCCGAATCCCAGGTTAACCTCCAGTCAGGGCACACCGTAGCACTCAAACAAAAATTGCGTTCATGAGTCACAATGGCGACAGCTTTCAAAACATGATCTATCTCACTTAAATCGATGTACTGCACTAGCGGGAATTTAACACGTAACATCTCAGAGATAATATCACGATTTTTTAAAACATTATCCAGCTTCTTTACTGAATTATGAGTGCAGTAGATTCCGCGGGAGAATATTTTATTTGTTGGTTAATTAATTAAAAACCCCAGCCCAACCTCTATTCAGGGGACACGCCTATTCAGGGGATACTTACCTTAGCCCCAAGGGTGTCCCCTGAATGGAGCTTCTACCATTTACTGTTTGAGCAACCCGTTATCGGGATTCAAGTTGTTTCTTTTCTGTTAACCTCGCAAATAATGACATGAATACATAAAAAAATGTTGAAAAAGTTAGGAAAACGCAAATTTCGGTAACGTTCACCCACTAAGAGTATCTAGAATGGAACGAAGAGACACTGGGTACTTTCGACATATTGCAGTGTTCTATGTAGTCGTGTTAATTTTTTTCGATCGAAGCGGGTAGTTTTTGTTGCCAGAAGTAAGTTGAGAAAAAGGAAAAGACAGTACAGGTAAGAAAGACGTGTACACTATACTACCTACCACTGTAATACTATAGTAAAAGATACTAACAACATACCTGGAACACAGCTTTTCTGAAAAAATTGCCCAGAAGATACATATGGATTGCAATCTTTTGACGTCATCATTCCATGACCAATCAAATACCCAACAGGAGCTGTCCACCCGACCGAGTCCCCTGCAGAAGGATGACATGTTCTGCTCCTCTCCAATGTCGCCAGAGAAATTTCTTTGGAAAGGTTACTCTTTATAAGAGCTACGGCATAACTGCTAAGACCATCTTCATGATTGCCGTAGTCTTCTGCCACTATTGGTGCAAGACCGTGTTGAGACCCTGTCGGAGTAAAGCAGAATGCTAAAGGAAATTGGAAATCTGATCAAAGGGAATGAGGAAAGAATTAAGTTTTCTATTGTAAGTGGCGTTCTTTACTAGCCTATGGGCGAATTTAGCTTGAATAGTTTTATAAAAGGGGATTGTAATTCTATCACTGGATTCAGCTCCATAAATGCTACACCCATTTCAGAACATTTTACAGAGGAGCGAACCACAATGTGAGCACAGACTCTGAATCCTACGCAGTGTACATATTTCAAATGGTAAACTAACCGGGGTAGGGCATTGTATTGAATTGCTGAAACTTCAGTGCAAGTGGTCCTTATATGGAAAATAATTGTTTTACAAGATCGGCAGACTACGAGTTGTCCACGACTTTCCCCGGAGATAAATTTGAGAAAACGAAATACGCGAGCCTTAGTGTATAATTTACGTTGTGGTTCAATTTTGTCTCAGGTTGAATTTTTTTCTTTTGTTTTTTTGGGTATGATAATGTATGATATCCTCTCTTATGTATGATAATAAGTTTCAAACATAAGAAAATGAAATTTAACCACAACGTACATCTTATCATACCCTTGTGAGTGGTGCTTTTTACGCGCGCTTGAGTATTTCGTTCGCTCTGCTATCACTTGAAGAAAACAAGGGACTGCAGTATCACGTTCAGGTGCTGACGAATAAAAGGCTACGACCACCTTGCCCCCTTGGCGGTGGCCCCCGTTAGTATATTACGTCACGTTTAAACGGACTCTCGCTATGTCGAGCACAGAATCCTGAATGATTGAGTTGCGGTTTAAATTAAAGAGAGGCACGTAACATACCAGCCTGATAAATGTGCTCATCTCCTAGAGTTATGACGTCAGCACTACCGTTAGCAATCATCTTCATGCAGTTTTCCAGACTACCTCCATTCACACACGTTAAACTTGCAAGTGAGGTCACCTGTAACGTCACATTCATCAAATGTTGACATTTGACCATCTCTAGCTTCGAGATGCAGCACCAGCGCACTCCTAACATTGAAAAGCGAAAATGATACACAAATTATAAAAATATTACTGATTCATAAGGCGTCTGCTCAAGTAGATGTCACGTAAGGGGCACCGTACTATTATTAGTTAGGAGCCATATCAATAGTCATAAGGTCAAGGAAATCCCGACAGTTGCTGCTTTAAAATCATGCTTTAAAATAGCACCTAGTGGTACGTAGAGCTAGCATTTATTTAAGAAACGAGAGGACTTGAAGTTAGGACGAAATACCTCGTGCCACTTGGGCACAGAATTTTGTCAAAATGAATCGAAAGGATTTTTAACGCTCGAACCTACTGTAAACCACGCACCCCTCTCCACTTATCACCGAGCTGTTACAAAACAAAACCTTCTACCACAATCCCTAGTCTAGATAAAATCTTCAACCAACGGAACAGTTTCCTGAAAAATGATACCCTATTCTAGACCCAAACCCTCTGATTTATATACCCTATCCAAGAGTAAACGGCTTGAAAACCATACCCTTCACAGCGGCATATACCTATATAGCCCACATATGGCAGTACCTCCCCCCCCCCCGGGGGGGTTAAACAAGTCGACCTTATGAAAAACGCTGTTTTTTTAGTTTAAAGTCTGAGGGCCCTCTAAAAACTGATTTTATTATGCTGTAAGTCATGGTCACAAGACGAAATATTTTTTATAGCTGACAGGGCTATCTTGGTCTGCTTGACTAAATCACGTTCTGAAAAGCGGCAATGAGACAGAGGTACGCAACGACGGTTTCCTCCTCAATACATTGAAAACACTTTTTAGGCTATCCAGAGTAGTACTTTAAGATCTCTAGATATGCATAAAGTGGCTCTATAAAGTGATAAAGTGTGTACCTGTTCGGTCATCGGCTAGGGGAACTTGAGTCTTCTCGAATTACAAGGGCTCCAGTATTATTTCCCCAAAAATTTTAGTTGCAATTTAGAGTATTACGAAAGTAAGAATTTTACTGATTCCTTTCTCCATCACACTTTTGAATCCGAAAATTTTAAGTTGCCTTTTTTCTACGAAAAATATAATAACGTGTGGAGTGAAATGTGAAAAATTATACTTTAGAAAATCGTAGGTATTTTACAGAAAACAGTCGTTGGGTGCCCCTGAAGAGAATACAGTCAATACAATGTCTTTCTAATTATTTTAACCCTCCCGCTGGGCATAATATTAAAACTCAAGATAAACAGCCGACAAAACAGCTGTCTTACGCGCAGAAATTTTCTTCCTGTTCTTTTGTTTTCAGTTTAGGATGATTTCTTTGGCATAAATCCTGTGTTCAGAAATGGCGAGATTTTCCGACGTTCAAACAACTGAAAATTAAAACAGTTATAATTATTTTTTTTTATTTTCAGCTGATATATTTTATCAACAGAACAGCAAAGCTGTTTTGTCTACAGCTCCTACCGCTGCATCTGAAGGCTACAATTTGCATAATAAGTAAAAGATAAGAAAAGCTGTCCTATTTCGGGTCTCAAGAAACTCGACCGCTCTACAAGTTGCCCGTATGACGTAACTATGTACCTAGATCAGGGTCGATCAAAAAAAATAACTTACTAAACGAGGCGCATAAACGCCAATCAACTCACTAACCACACGATATCAAAATAAATTGCATATCATTCTCACCTGTTTCGATCGATGATGAGCTTATAAAATGCCCGAACAAGACAACAGCTACAACTACAGGAAGCATACCAAAACATGGAAGACCTTTTCTGCCGAGGTTTCAGGAATCTCCGCGCCGAAATCTGTGGAAGTTATTACACGGCTAAATGCTCTTGCAAAACAGGCTTTTTACGTTCGCTGGAACAGGCACCTTTCACAGTCCTCAATTTAAGTCTAAGCCTTTTAAGATGTTCTCGTCCATAGCGGGCCGAACACGGTACCTTGATCACGAGCGACCAACATGATGTGAGAACTGGTCGATATTTATATCGTCAACGTGATTTTTGATCAATCATGCATTGAATTTGATAACATCCGCCAAATTAGTTTACTCTTCAAACGTCACGACTATAATATTACGTAGGCTAAATACATATTCGGTAGTCTAAAAGAATAATTCCTTGCCATACATTCCGATCTATTTCAAGGTCAAATCCAGGTTGCCAGGCGTTAACAAGCTAATAAAAGAAACATTTGCAAAAATAGCGATCCTGAAGGCGATATCGCCTTGAGGCCTTGCATTCTGTTCAACAAATTTCAAAAAACTTCAGAAATTTGATAAATATGAAGATGACAAATTGTTCACTGTTGTGCAGGAAAGGAAAGACAGGGACTCTAGTATAAATCAGGAGCCGCTTGGCAATAAAGACAGCGAGACGACAAACGTATTTTTAAACCCCTTTATCGATTTGCTAACCTTTCAGATAATTGTATAATAATCCATAAAATAAAGTAAGTTAAATAGTCGCGTGACCGAAAGTCGACGGAAGCGTCGCGTGACAACTCACTGTGGAATTAAGATTGACAGCGTTGCTATGGTGATAGCTTTCCTAAATTTAAACAATCTTCAACTGCAAAAGGCAAATGGCGGTAGAATAAAAGCTTTGTGGGGACACATTCGGTTTATGGATTCAAAGGCTTTTTAAGTAGCCGAAATGGCAACAAGCAAAAAAAAGAAAAAAGGATTGAAAACAGCTCCTTTCGATACTTACATTAACATATCTTGCACGGGAGAAAAGTTCTTGCTAAAGAATGTCCACGCCGAAATGAAGATTCGCGAACTCAAATGTTACGCCGAACTTGTCGTTGGAATTCCTTACAATTTACAGCGGTTACAGTACCTCGATGAGGGAGATATGCTGGACGATTCCGATTTAAGACATAACGATGTTGTGGCTGGCGCAACGATTAATTTAAAGCTCTGGAGATCGTGGGATAACTTAGTAGCTGCTGTCTGTCGAGGCACCATAGATCAAGTGCTCAAGGAAGGAGTTGCGCTGGAGAAAGCTTGGGAATCTTTAGACCCGACGATTTACAGAAACAAAGTCTCCATCGCTAAGGACAGAGCTTCGGTAGCTCTTTTTATCGCTGCACATCGCGGTCGTATTAATTTAATAAGAAGTTTAATAGACAACACCGAAGCTGATGTGAACATGAAAAGCCCATTTGGTCGAACGCCACTGCACGCAGCTTCTTCGCAAGGGCATTCGAACGCAATAGATCTGATGTTAGAAAAGGGCGCATCCATGGACGAAATAGACGTACAAGGCAAATCAGCTTTGATGGTGGCGAGTCAATGGGGTTTTAAAGACAGCGAAAGGCATTTATTTCTGTTCCAGTGGCAAACAAGAGCTGCTAAAACAAAGCCCAAGAGAAGGAGCAAGTCGTTGATGATGCATCAACAATTTGATTCGGCTTATCCTACATGGTTAAAAGGAAAATACGCACAGGTTTACTTTTGTCAAACACTCCCCCCGGGAGAATTTGCTGGTACGGGAATCAGTGCCCCAAGGAGGAGGGCAGTGGAGCCCGGAAACCAGTTACAGTACGAGGAATCTTTTCTTGAACAGTCTTCTGACGAGTTACCTCCCATTAGTGGAGCGGTAGATTATGATGGTAAGTTCTTTTCGCACCATGTAAGGGAATCTGCATCCTTGAAGACCCAAGGGAAGTCAGTGAGTTGAAAGTTTTCGCCTGTTCTTGAAAACTTCCATCGTGCCTCTTCTCCCGACCTGAGTGACTGACCCTTGGTCTCCGAGGATAGGGAATCTAGGAAATGTTTGCGAGTCAAATCTGGTATCCGAGACATTTTTGCTTGTGGAATCCAGAGTTCTGGGCATTAGAATCCCAAGGATACGGCTCAAAGAATCTGGATCCCACTAACTGGATTGAAATCTCGAATCCAACTTCCACTGACAAAGAATCTGTCATCCAGCACCTGGAATCTACAATCCACAGGGTGGAATCCAGAATCCAAGACTGTCCTGGATTCCCTTTAATACATGACCGGGCAATTCTTTGGTGGGTGCTCAGAATGTTGACTGTTCAGATAACCAACTTGTATTCTTGAAAACAAGTAGGATATGAGAACAGTCAACTCTCTTGCACCAAAACAGACACAATTAGGGCCTGCAACAAGTGTCTGTCTTAGAGTGATGTCAGTCATACAGAGAGTCAAATATATAGGAGTAAGGAAAGGAAGGGACTGGCCCTAGGTCACTGTCTGATTTACTGAGGTGTCTGTTTAGAGAAATGACTTTACTCTGAAAAAAACTCACTCAAGATAGGACTCAAGATCAAACTTGGTCATTCAAGTTTTATCCCTCCCCCCTTCTTACGGATCAAGGGCATAATTCCAACAGGTTTTGAGTACTTCTGCTCCCCCCCCCATTCCCCCCTTCCTCCCAATTGCGGCACCCTCATATAGGCAAATCTAGATCTTTAGGGATAAATAATAGAGATTCTGACAGGAGCTGTACAGCGTACTTGGAATCTAAGTCAACTTCACTACTTATTAACTTACTTACTTACTTACTTGAGCTGGTAATCATCTCGAGCCCTCCTGACAAAATATTTCCACAATGCCTGATTGAGCATGGCATCTCTCATTTCTCTAGTTCTCTCCAGTCCAGTGTCAGCCTTGGTGGTATAGATGCACATAGTTGGTGGTGATGAATGGTCAATGAAAATTTTTAACTGCTCGCAAAATTTTACCTTTGCTCAATTTGCTCGCAAAATTTAAACGAGTGCTCGCTTGCTCGTGCTCCCAAAATTTTTGCAGTTGCTCGCAAACTCGCTTTCTTGTCACTATTGCTCGAAGTTTTATAAATCCTTCTTTGGGTTAAAGTAAATGTAATTCTGTATGGTGCTTAATTCCTATAAATATGGCTATGAAGTTCAGTGGAAATGCGCACGATAAATGACAACGATAAATAATAAATTAGCTAATCTAGCTTATATGGTTATATATGGTTGTTCTTCTTGTGACCTTTGCTTTCTGATCCGTACAAACACGTGCGTGATGAAGTGAAGCGAAAATGTGACGTCATCTGGCATCAAACGCAACTGTAATTGGTTAGATCTCGATAAGGTGTCACTCAAACTAGTTTCAAAGAACTTGATACGCTCTAAATTAAAACCCTGTTTAAAAATCGATTATTTTCTGTTTTATTTTAAAGAAAAGGATTTCCATATGGATTGCTGCAAGCAGAAAATATAAGAAGTGCTCGGTGCTTGCAAGTTGTACTCTCTAAACTGCTCGCTGCTCACAAAGCAATTTTTTTATCTCTGCTCATGCTCGCAAAAAAATCGCAGTGCTCGGCATGCAAAGACCACTCGTCACCCGTATAGTTGACTTGCTCCACCTTGGTTTGGGTGACCATATGGGGGTCAATTCAATCCCAAGCTGGCAAAATAGTGATGCTCATTCCCTCTATATGAGCTGAAATTCAAGATTCTGACAGGGTCTTAATACAGAACCTACTAACAAAATTAATGGCTTTCATCGGGTAAGGAGGAAGGGGTGGTTGGGTTGCAGACATAAATTCAACCATTGCACCAAAGTGGGTGATTATGTCTAACCACAAGTGAACGATGGGTCAAGATGCTGATTAGGAAAGACTTTCAGGAAGACGGGTCACAACCATTCTATTGATTAATTGAATATCCAATTCTATGTCCCCATATTGACCATGAAAGGCAGTTGTACTTTCACCCCTACTCCAGGCCCATGGTGAACACTGAGAAAAAATGCAATGTTTCTACAAGCCCTTATTAAAATTTTCAAAAAATGCAAAATAATAAAAGTATGAAATAAAAAAATAAATGAACAAGAAAGAAAACCCTTAAATTTAAGTCTATGAGTATTCAGTTACAGATAAACTTAGTTAAGAAATGTCTATTTTTTTCCTTTGGATAACCAATTGACTGGACATGGATCCCTCTTTTCATTCCAACCAATGACTTTTAAAATTCTGCCTTATTTCCTTATTTCCCCCTTAGTTACAAGATACAGCATGGGCGGGTCAGTGCGACCAGTGCTTCCACAGATTAGGCCATCAAAGGAAAGACTGGCAAGCAGGTACAGTGACCAAAAATTATAAGTAACAGATGTTAAGAGCTAATTTTGAACAACTGTTCTATATTTGCCTCTTGTCAAGCCACTAACCTGTGATCAGCCTTTTGTTATTATTATTATTATTATTATTATTATTATTATTATTTATTTTTGAGAAGAGAGGGAAAAAGAAAGCCTTCCTTCCCATGAAGGAAATATAAAGACGTAGGGAGAGTGATTTCAGGCTATCAAACTACATGGCTTGCTCTGTCTACCAGATTCTTGAGAAATGGAAGACACTTTTATCAGTCTTACGAAAAGGGTGAACGTTAAAGTTTTTCAGAGTGACAATTTTTTCTTCACAAGGCCTTTTAGCCTCCAAAGAACCCCTGTAGTAGGACTGAAACAACTTGCACTACTCTTAGGCTATAAACCTTGCTTAACTATGACTGTCATTGGGTACAACTACAGGGCTCAATGTACCAATTAAACACTTGCTTCCCAGGTAAAAATTGCTTAAAGAGAAGTATTTAAGGTTTGCTGGCACCAATCTCACCATAACAACAAAGTTGTCATTAAGAGCCGGGGGCTGGGGATTTTCCCCTGCTACTATGAATGTGGCCCTTAATTCTAGAACACAATAATTTTCAGTAATTGGGTTATCCAATAAAGTCCTTATAGCCATCATCATTATTATTATTATTGGAAAATAAAAGAAAAATAGAACTAAAAGAAATCCCAAAACAATGAAAATAAATGAAGGGCAGCTGTATATACTCACTATGAGTGTAGCAGCTTTTAATAATGTTCCTGCAGTGTCACCAAGTTAGAATACAGTGAAACCTGTATTAAGCAGACACTGCATAAAGCGGACACCCCCTGTTAAGTGGACAGTAGCCGAAGTCCCCAAATTTATTTCCCTAATATTTACTTTAAATGAAACCTTTATCAAGCAGACACCAGCTCTGTCAAGCAGATGCGGACACCTAAAAAGTACCTGAAATGGTCATTTCTATTTCTGCCAACCTGTATTAAATTCCACCACCCAACATGCCAGACACTGGAAATGCGAAAGATTGCGTCAAATTGCCACCCACAAATTTTTCGATTTTTACATTAAAACACGTGACTTGACAAACTTATTTGATTAGTATCACAGTACAGTCTTGTTTTCTATTTCATTTTGCTTGCATAGATGATTTCTTCAAATTTGAGTTGCAATCCATGTTTATGGTACTATGATCAATTGGTCCACTTTGATCAAGAAATTAATGCAAACGTATATCGTCATAGTCTCTGGGAGTATTCTAAACGTTTCCACTGTTCATTTGAATGGCATTTGACACCTCATACATGTTATCTATTAAAACCTGTATTAGGCAGACACCCTGTATTTTAAAGCGGACACTACAGCATTCCCCAGTGTGTCTGCTTAATACAGGTTTCACTGTATTCTATTTACTTTTGTTGAACAGTTAGTGCATGAAGGGATGGGGAATCATTAATGTGTATTTATCTATTGTACAAAGCACTTTTAAAAATGAAATGTAACCTAAGAACAAAGCTTAATGATGCTTATATGGGTATCTCATTTCTCTTTTTCAGTAAATCTCATGGGAGTTCGAAGTCTGCAACCTTTGATGAGTGGTTGGTAGAAAAGAAATCAAAGAAACACCAAAAACAACAAAAAGAAAAGGAAGAGAAACTGAGAAAGCAAATAGAACAGGAAAACAAGAGATTAGCTAGGATAGAGGGGCAAAAGAGCTTTGAGGACTGGAAAAATTCCAAATCAAAACAAAAACTTGACTTGTCTGCCTTGGAAAAGAAAAGAGACGATATCATTCGAGAAGAGCCTGGAAGGCATTATAGTTTGAGTTTTGAACGGTGGTTGAGTAGAAATCACGGTACTTTAGATCTTTATTATTAAATTGTTCAGCCTGCCAACATGCTGTATGTCAAAGACATTAAAATTTTGTAAGTAATTAAAAGAAATTAATCAATAGCAGTACTGTTTTCTGCAGATAAAGATTGTGTTTAATTTTGTTTGAATGTTATTTAAAATTGACATATTTTGAAATCTTTTGTATGTAACATATGTTGTCAGAATTATTTATTTATTTTGAAGAAAAAATTTCTCACCTGCTACATTGATCCTGGGTAAAACTGACAGAATGGTGTACTTTAACAAGCATCATTCACCTTTTTAAGATTTGTTGTTTGCTTGTTCTCGTAAATTACATTAATTCATGACATTTCTAAACAAACTGAACAGTGTGCGCGTATAGGTAAAATCTGTGCTCATTGGCACCTAGCGATAGCTATAACTAGTTTTTATTTAAGATGTTCATGTATCATAGAGAAATCTGAGTAGGTAACATAACCAGGTAAAGAATAAAATAACACTTTTATCATGACAAAGTAGGTCAATGAGTGCTTGTACTTTTTTGTTTGTTTTGTTTTTTAAATCAGCAAAAAGTTTGAAATATTTCTTTACCTTGTAATGATTAAAATGTACACATCTTACAGTATACCTCTTCATAACTTACATGGTTATGTATTTTTGTTGTACTTTGCAACAAAGTCCTTATTTAACATGCTTTCTTACTAGTAATGGTACCAGTATTTAGAATGTAAAATATTATTGATTGCCAAAAATTAAACAATTTTACTTATGAGTTGATGACGTAATAATTTTATTTTCAATCACAATTCAGCGATGTGTCAACTACATTTAATAAGTCAAATTCATGGACACCTAACTACCAGTACTGAATTTAAAATCTGCACCACATAGATCTAGGGAATTTCCTATATAATATCCTAAACCTCAGAACAATGTGCCATGGTTACAAACACAAAAGGAAAGCTGTGAAGAAGCCTAAAAGCCAGGAAACCATAGGGATACTAAATGCCAAGTTGTATTTTCAATAAACCTCTGAATCGAACAATAAACTATTAATTTCATCATTTACCAGTTTGGTTACCAAAAAACTATGTCAAGCTCAAATTCCAGTCTTAACAACATAAACAGGTGTTTGGAAGATATTTGCAAGTTACCTGGTATAATTTGCAAGCAAAATAATACTAATACACATATAAAGATCTTTTTAACCCACCAAACAAAGGAACGGATTTATTTCTCATAAAACAAGGTTATCTTAGATAAATCAACTTCTATTTCTTCAGCTAGAGTATCAGAAATTGCTCAGTTTGTAATAAGTCACAGGGGCGGATCCAGGATTTTTTTTAGGAGGGGGTGCACTCGTCTCTTGCTGTACTTCAACGCCAATAAACCACATAGTTTTTTTTTTGCAGAATACCAGTTGTATTAGAAAACCGCAGGTCATCTCAGGGAGGGGGGGGTGCACCCCCCCTGCACCCTCCCCCTAGATCTGCCCCTGCGTCAGAGTTGACAAATTATTCAGGGTGAAATGAGGCACTAGTCAAGAGGAAAAATAATGACAAATGTACATATGTTGTAACTGTAACTAATGAGAAAACCTAGACACAGTTGACTCCCCCATAACTCGAACCCTCTATAACTCGAACCTCCCGTTAACGCCAAGTAATTTTCAATTCCCTTCAGATCATTTTCCATATAATTTTACCCTCAATAACTCAAACTTTTTTCCATTTCCCTTGAAGGTTTGAATTATCGGGAGTCGACTGTACATGTATGTGAATTGGCTTTTTAAAATCACAACAAAAACTCAAAACTGCCAATAATTCCAAGACAGTTCCTTTGTACCCTGTAAAATAATAACTATTGGCACCACAGGTGACAGCAACTGATTTTGGGTGCAAAAAAATAAATGAAACACAAAAAAGCCCCTTTTCTGATGCAAATATTAAAAAAAAAACATAACAAGTAAAGAAGAAAGATATATATATGACCCCTCCATATTTCATGGTCAGAAACATGCTTTTTGTAACCTAGTTGGGCTGGCAAAATTGGCATCTAGCAAAAAATGAATCATGCGTATAAGAAAATTCTTGGTAGGGCCTGAAATAGATTTTAAGAAATTGGGGTCTTGTTTCTATGTGTTTCTTTCTGCCTTGAGTCTTGAAATTTTCAATGTAAAGCCTTAGCTCTTACAACAACAGTCATAGCTAGAGTTTGGCCTCCGTAGCTAACACTTGATTTCAAAACTGCAGTTGTATTCATTGTTAGCCTTGCTAATGGTATCAGTTCGCGCTAGTTAGCTAGTGACAGACATTCTGAAAACTTTAGTAGACAGTTTATAAATTTCTTGACTCATTCGTAGCACTTCCAATGAGTATTGATACCTTCATAATTTTACATTGGAAAAACCACACCACTCCCTTTGTATTCCTCAAATTCTACCTAAGTAGCTGTGTGCTTTAAATTAATTTTCAGTTTGATTATACATTTAAAGAGATGAATGTACAGAAATGCGTCGTTATTTCTTTAGAAGATTTTTTATCCAAACTAAAGTTTTCCATTACTATACAAAAAAGGCTCTAGAAAAGTGTTCATATCCATGTAAGCTAACCTATTAATATGACTATTCATTATATTGATAAAATACCATCCTCATCGACGGTAGGGTGGTCTTCTTCATCACTGTCAGGTATTTCTTCTGCTAATTCATTGTGATAAGCATGTGGGATTGTTGGGGATCCTGGTTCCAAAGCAGGATTAATTGAATGAATTGCTAAGTTCGTCAGGCTCTGAGATTTTGTACGATCTGGTTCCGCTGCACGATGTAACCTAGCACCAATGACTGGGTTATTAAACTGATTTGATGGCTTTACTGTTATGATAAGATTGTGACTATTAGCGATCATCATATCAGTCACCTGATCCAAAGTTTTTCCTGCGACTTCAATACCATTAACCTCCAAAACTTCATCATTCACTGCTAATAGACCAGTGCTTTCAGCTAGCCCTCCAGGGACTAATCTCGAAATAAAAATACCTGGAACTTTTTCCAAACCACTAGGCGTAACGCGAACACTGGTTCCATCACGTATGTAGAATCCAAGGGGCTTGTCAGTATTGTGCTTCAATAATTTTACTCGGCGTTGAGTTTCAGGAATAATGTCCACATCAACAATTGCTGAGACCCGACGGAAGTCTTGAGGACCACTAATTTGTATTCTACTGAGGTGTGACTTGTTGGGGTTTGTAAGATTGGATAACAAATTGCGTCGCCTAGGTACTTCTGGAGGAAGGGGATTCTCTTCTGTGACACTACCTAGAACAAAACAGCAAAATTTGTTTTACACCATTATTCCACATCAAAAAAATTCTTGAAAAAGGAAAATATGCCAGCTTCTAAACTCTGGCTGCTCTAGAAAGGTCAGGTGAGCTAATTATCTTTAGGATCATTTCGCACCCAAGGTTTCCAGTCACACCCAGACCTGCATATCAATAGATGTTATTTGCGATATACATGCCATCTTTGCGTGTGCTAAGGACTGACGGGATATAAAAGCAATGTAACATGATTTCTCAGGGGACAAACAAAAATAATATAAAATTTGCCAGTGCAAGAAATTGCCATTGATTTTGTTTATTCTAGATAGACCACAAAAAAAGAAAGATTTTTTTCACTTTAGAAACAATAGTGGTAAATTATAGGTGGAAGTAACCGTTGCTACTTTTTTAGATGCTTATAGTGACCGTAGATGTCATCACAGCAAGCAGTGATGTAAATCTTGTTGAAACTTTAAATGTACGCTTGGCATGACTATTAAATCATCATCTCGTTTGAATAGAATAAACAAACTCAATAATTGTGATTACTTTTTCTACTGGCAATTTTTATCCCTTGCTTGCCCCCTGAAATACCAAGTGACATTGTTTTTAAGCCATCGAGCCTAAAGCACATGCAAAGATAGCGCTAATCAGGATTAAAGTATATTCCACTGTAAATGCATGGTTGCTTAGCACACTCCTGATAAAGAGCAAATCAAATGGGATTTGTGTCACTCAGTAAACATTCAAAACGAAGATAGCTGTAAAGGAAAATAGGATCAGTTTTTTACTTTACACACAATTGGTCATGAAAAACACAAATTCCAGACATAATTCAAGTGCTTATGGTGTTGTAAGAACATGATAGAATTTTCATAAAAATTGTTGAATCTCTTTAATTTGTAGACTGCATTTTTATTTCTCGGGCGTAATAAGACAAGAATACTAGGCACTATCGTAATAAGATTTGCGAGAAAATATCAAAAATAAATTAACAAAGAAATGCTCAGAAAGAGAAAAAACGATCAATCTATATATACAATTAATTTAATCAAGTGGTGTAATTCGACGTTTGAAATAAATCGTCAAGTACGTCTAAAAACTTCTGTATTATTTTCTCACCTTAAAAATTTAATGTACAGTTTAGATTAAAACTGTTGTTTTGAAATGAGACGAATTCTTATCGCAAAAATTGTTTCGAAAGGAATCTCGATGACGCAAAGGAAGTAAAGTTAGGTAAAGAATACCGAGTTTTGAGAGTGGTGTTCCTTTGATAAACAAACATCACAACGTTTACATCGTCAAAATCTAATTTTCGCGTCATCGAATTTTCAACGGAAAAATATTGCACAAGTAGTTAATCGGTAGGTCTCTACTAATATAAGTTAAGGCTTAGGGAAGAAAAATAAACAATTGCTTTGCTTATCTATTCCAGCAAAAATGATCTGAATTAATCATATTCTGTGACCTGGGATCCTCAGAATTTAAGACAATCATTATTCCAATGAATTCAATTACCGAAGAATTAGCAAAGAGATTGACTGAAAATGGAAGCTCAATGCCAGCTAATCTTTTATGATAACTGTTGGGTGTCTTACATACCTTGTCTTTGCACGAAAAGTCGTAAAAGCGGTCGAGCAGTAGTAACAGCTCTCAGGAAATTATCATCGTTGTTAATGGGCAGTAAATCGCCATGCATATCAGTATACCAAAGTGTCACTGGAGTGTTTTGAAGCTTGTGGAGGGTCTGTACACGCTTGTGGAACTCTTCATAATTCGTAAGCTCCGCTTTATCCAATGGAAACCTTCGAAATTCTGCATCAAACTACATATACAAAAAAATGGTAATGCGGATTACTATTCAGGTTGCCTCGCGTTTCAAAGTGGTCAGTGCATCGCCGTTAGTTAAAAGGATTGTGACAAAATTCCCGGCTCACCTTAGATTTAACTTCAATGATGCTAAGGTCTATTTGTGTAGGAACCTTCTTAGATCCTCTCAGCAGCTTGGACATCAGGAATTTAGCGTCAAATCGTTCAACTTCGCTCTCAAAACAACCCTCAAATGCATTCCTCAAATCGACACATTCAGAACATGTAAACTGCGCAAGGTTACTGCGCATCCGAAGGTGGTTACAGGGGTGGGGTCAGACGATTTGGTAACGGCTATTTTAGGCAATTCAGGAAATGAATATTGGAACAAATGGGTTTGCTGTTAATTGCTGAATACAATTACTTAGAGTTGATTGAAAAGTGGGTTTTTCTCAAAGCCAAAAAGAATATTCCGGCAACGTCATGAACCATCGTGCGTATTTTACAAAGGTAGATTACCATAAATGATCACAAATCTCGCCGCACTCTACACATTTACCAGGTTGCCACCGCTCTGAAGGGCGATAGCAAAAAATTCTGTCACTATTACGTCAGACTTGCGCATTGCGAGACTGCACGTGCACGAAGTATCCGGCTTGTCACACAGTTTTTTTCAATTGCGTGACGAGCCAAAGCGAAATCAAAACATATAAAATGTCAGCAAGTCCACAGCGACAAAAGACCTAGATCAGTACAATTAAACTTGCAGAAAAATATGAAACGGCAAACTGATCCTTACGGCAAGGTGATGAAGAAGTAAACAAAAGAATAAAACAAAAATATATATATTTAAACAAATTGCCCAATATTTCGGTTTGAAAACAAACCTTCTTCAGTTTAGCCCCTGACGAAGGTTTGTTTGCAAACCGAAATATTAGGCAATTTGTTTAAATATATATTTTTCTGTTTTATTCCTTTGTTTGCTTCTTCATCGCCTTGCCGTAAGGATCAGTTTGCCGTTTCATACTTTTCTAAATCAAAACACCCGAAATCAAGGATGAAGCCGTGCGAAATTGTTCCCATCCCCTGGAGGGAGGGGCAGGGGAGGGGGAGCAAAAGCATATGGGAAATTGCAAGTATACTGCCAAAGTTCACTAATTGTGACAGCTTTGCCGTGTTTTTATACCCTGATTGTAACTACCCGCAATAAAACTAAAGCAAAAACTGCGGTGGTTAGCACTAGCTTGTATGGCAGTAAGCTATAAGGAAAACTTCACTGAGGGAACAATGTCCGATACAGCCGCGAAGGATCGATGTTTTTGTTGTGTTAAATTCAAGTGCCCATTGCAAACTTTGCTGAATTTAATATTGTGAAGTGATTTTTTCTACCAAATACTTCTTCGACACCGTACGTTAGAATTTTAAAATCGTAGAAGAAATAAATGCACAGTTTAGACCAGGCATAACTTTACCAACTTTTTGAACCCGTACAGTATGGTTAGTAACAATTCATACAACTTTATTTCAAAACCAAGAGAAAAAATTAAATAACTATTTGGCGACAGTATCAACAAATAACAATACCATTGTTCCACAAAAATTGCTAGACACCTGAATGAACACCATGAAAACAGTTTTCAATTAATTTTTTTTCTTGCTTGCTTCTCTCTTCCGCATTCCATTAAGTACAATGCGATCATAATGATAAAGGTAGAAGGCTAAAACGAGTCTTAAAGGCCCCATCAAAGCAACCTATACAGAACAAAACAAAAAACGTTATATATCATGCAGTCTACGCAGCAGGGTTAGCTTAGTCAGTAGAACGCTTGACAGCAGAGCGGGACGTCGCGGGTTCAATTCCCGGGGTCGGACCAATACTCAGGGTCTTAGGGACTGTGCGATAATTACCTGGAGGGGGTGGGGTTGGAAAATGGGTGAAATATGCCCCAAATCTAAGTCATACCCTCTCTCATTAAGCAAAAATTAGTTTCAACCCCCACCCCCCTCACCTAATGATAATATTAAGGCTAACCTCCCCCCCTTGAAAAAAGTCTCCTTCCATCGATTCCCTCATACGTAGTTTACTTGTTGGATTTCTTCCTCCAGCACAAACATCACTTCAAATGACTCTAAATAAAGTAGCACTGTTTTAACATATATAACAGTGGCATTCCTTTTCTACTGCAATTTGTCAGTTTTATTCCAATGCTAGTATTTATATTTGAACTCTAATAACTCTTCCACTACTTTTCCAGTTTCCAAAAAGTAATGAAAAAGTAATGCCCCCCCCCCGTATGTATTAAATTTCACATCCAGCACCCCCCTCCCTTATTGTCATTTTCTCCTATCCCCAAATAATTTTCCAACCCCCCCCCCCCCCTCCTCCAGGTAATTAATGCACAGTCCCTTAAAATAAGTGAGAAATGAAGATGCTTCCTTTGTCCCGCAAGCGGCTAGACCTTCGCGTGGCTCGGATGACTACGTAAAATGGCGGCCCCGAATTCAGTTAGAGACGTAAAAATAGAGTCCCCAATTAGTAGTTCCGTGCCAAATAAATTGACACTCAAATAAGGTGCTTTTTTTCTGTTTAAGGTTTACGTTTCCAGTCTATGAAATTTCATGAAGACCAAGAGGTAGCCATAACCGGCTGACATTTCGCGAGGCCAGCACTGGTTTCCCCACGAATGATGACGCGTCACTACCCAGATCTGGGTAGTGCTTCTGATTGGTTAAAACAAATTTCTCTCGCAATGCGACCAATCAGCAGCATCACACAGGTCTGGATAGTGAACGTCACCATGCAGTACGGAATTGCTGCAGTCGTTGCTCAGACGTCATTTCGCGGGGACCTGTGATGGCGTTGCCAAATGTCGGCTGCTTTCTCAGGCTAACAAAGGGGCTAGTTTAAAAAGAAACCCTGGTTCTGTGTACATTTTTAAGTTTGATTTTGCTATGTTCATGCTATAACCCTTTAAACGGATAACTCTTATTTTTTTTTATGAAAACCAGGCCGAACACCCGCGAACAGGGCTTTTGTTCACACACGAGAAAGGTGCTTTTCGGCGCGAGTTCTGTAACACAGCGAAGCTTCGCCGCGTCGATCTTGACAGTGGATCGTCACATATTACTGGGTTTAATTTTTCGTTTGTAACTTGACAAAAAATCGGAAACTGACGAACCAGAAAATGCTTACGGGATAGAAACAAATGGATGCCAACTCATTTGCCGAATTCATAGTAGAGAAGGAAAACCGTTTTGGACGCGGAAAAACTGATCTTAAGACAAGAAGAAGAAAGAACATCGTTGTCTTCGTTCATGTTCTCCGTGAAACGTGAAACTAGCAAGTTTCACGTCGCACCCGTGCAACGACGGCAAAGAAATGTACACAGAAGCGTGGCACGTGCAAAGTAGCTGTTTTACTATTTGCTGCGTTTGTTTTCGTTGCCGTCGCCGATATTGTTGCTTAAGCTCTCTATTGTTGAGAATGGGGAAGGGTACTTTTATTATATAACCTTAACTTTAATACAAGTAAACTTGATCTGTATTACGGGGAAGTATATATATATTTGCAAAGGATAACATACTTGAACAAGAAGTTCAAACAATGAAGAGGCCGGCGCTAAGCCGCACGTTAAAGTCTTCACGGCAAATCCATCAAAGCCACAAGATATCAAGAATTTCCTGTTCTGAAATGTTAAACAAACAAAGCCTATTTACCAGTCAATCGCATTTTCGCTACACTGTTTAGCGCTTAAAAAATCATGGATATGATTGAAAATACCTTGATTCCTGCCACCATGATGGCTGCTACTTGATCGGGGGTAAACAGCCCACCTGAACTACTGATTAAATGAGTTTCTTCTGGCTAAAGAAGGATAAGAAAAAAAGTATAGTAGTCAAGCGTAATAAGAGGAAGTTGCCTAGTAGGCCTCTTCATTCCATGCGGCCTACAAGTATGCGTTTTGGGTCACGTGGATTGAGCGAGTTTGTTTCCCCGCAGTTTGTCACGTCCACGTCGCCAAAATGCGTTGACCGAGAAGGCCCGGAAAGACGCCGTACAGAAAATAGGTAAAAGAGGAAGCAGGGACTGTGACCGGCAAAAAAAAAAAGATGTATTTTCTTTGTAAAATATTGCATAATATTTTACACAGTTTCAAGACACTTGCTGGATTGTAGCGTGAGAAAACAGTCGACATTTCACGACGCTACCGGTGGTTTCACCGCGAAATGATGTCTGAGAAACGAGCGCAGAAATTCCATTATGTACTGAAATCTGAGTACTGCTTCCGATTAGATGAAGCAAATTTGCAACCAATTAGAAGCTTATCTCAGATCTGGCTAGTGCGCGTCATCAGTATGGAATTTCTGCGCTGTTTTCTCAGACGTCATTTCGCGGGCAAACCACCGGTGGTGTCGCGAAATGTGGGCTGTTTTCTCAGGCTAGCTGCATCGATGAGTTTAAACACAATTAATTGGACAAATGTCATGGTGCAATTGGTGCATGCATAGTAACTTAATTAAGCATGCAGGTGATACTGTTTGCATGTATTTAGACATTACAGGCAAAAACGTTTTTGTAGTTAACCGTGTTTAACTAGAACTTAACTGAAAGGGTGATAACCAATCATAATGAGATGATTAATGAAATATATCAAGGCTGCCGGTTTTGTAAAGGGAATGAAGTGGTTTCATAAACACAAGATACAGTTCTAGAATTAACTAGGAAATCAACGATGCGCAGTGTAACGGTTAAATGCAAATCCTCTGATATGCTTGACTACTTTTTTTTTGGAAAATCAATATAGAGAAGTCGTTACGTCACGTTACCACGGTAGCGAAATTTCTGGATAACAACAAACCAAAAACGTCACTTAAAAACTGAATTCGCACAGTTTCAAACTTCAACGATCTTACTCAATTTCATTCAATTCGTAAAATCTTGGTAAAATTGTCTGGGGTTGAATCCAAAGGATCACCAACTCCATAAAGCGGGCGCGTCAAATTAGGAAGTTTCATGTCGCAGACTTGCAATGATGGCTAAGAAATATAAAAAAAAGTGTGATGCATGGGCAAAGTTGTTGTTTTGTTAATAGGGAGCTTAAGCAACAACGTTTTTGAGCCACGCACGTCAACCGGAAGTGGCCTTTTTTCATTTTTTTGACGGTGGTTTCGCGCAAATTTTCAGTCAAATCGCCTCTACAACAGTAAAGAAGCTAAGGAATACAAATTTTATATCATCAAGGCATGTTAAGAGGGAAAATACCTCACTTCCGGTTGACGTGCGTCGCTCAAAAACGTTGCTGCTTAAGCTCCCTAATATAAACCGATTGCTTTTTTGCCGTTCTCGTTGTCGTCGCCGTCTTTCTCCCCACTGTTGTGATCCAGAAATGTTGCTACCATAGTAGCCTGCGTAGCAAGCGCTTCCTTGCGAGGTTCGTCTAGAAAGCTGGGACAAGAGCGAAAAAAAAAATGAATGACGGGGAAGGGGGAGGGGAAAGCTCTAACTTTCGCGCAATAACTCGATTGGAAACGCTTGCTACGCAGGCTACTACCATAGTAACACGACATCACACTTCTCTTTTCTATTCAGGCTTATTTAGAGGGTTAGCTCACATAATATGCACAAAAAGGGCTGCCCTCAATCGACATTCAGATAATGAAATGAAATTAATTTTCTTCTCACCTTGCCTTTGTTCTCATTTTCAAATCCTGGTGTGTCTGTGTCTGGAGGAAAGACCACAGAGACCCCAATGTTATATGGTTTCACCTGAAATTGACAGAGGAACATTAAAATGCTTTCAATAACCCTTTGGTCAAAGAATGATAGCATCTAATCAATCACTACTGTACCAAAAAACATGCACACAGAGGTGGACTTGATTGAGTTGAAATTCTGCTACAAGCCAGTGTTATACCCAACCAATGCACCCCTGTTGCCCTGCCTCCTGCTCAAAAATACTGCAAATACTGTCTCTCTGTTCTGAACTGCAGTTTAAAGCGTGCATAGAGAAAGGCTAGTAGCTCCATAAACATGGGACAAGCATGTAATTCATACTAATTCTGTTTCATCAAAAAAAAGCTGCTTAGCGACATTTTATGGTAGCCAGACAAAATCCCCAAAATCCCCTAAACGGCAATGGTGAGATAATATACATGTTAATCAATGAAACTGCTTATTCTAATAAATGTTAAATTGTTTTCCTTTTCCTTTTACAAGAGTATTCAGACTCTTATCCGCTCATCACCTGCATCAAGGTATACCAAAAAACCCAACTTGCCTGAAAATTTCACCATCATAGAGGGCCAAAAGAACAAAACAATCCACGTTGATTCAAACAGTGTAACAATATTGGGCCATTCGCACAATGGCATCATTTTACAACTACTACCAGAATCCACCTGTTTTTCTTTTGAAATCATAGTTAAATATGGTAATCCCAGTGAGGTTTCAATAACTAAAGCCATAATTTCACAAGAAAGCAAGACTCTGAAGGATTCTGAAAACAGTACTTAGTCAAAAAGATGATCATGATTGTTGAAATTGCACATTATGGAAACTATAAAAAAGTTTAATACCTCCATGAAGAGAGTTTCAGCGAAACCTCTTACAGCAAACTTTGAAGCGGCATAAGCACTAAATCCAAATATACCAAACTACAAAAAATGGCATTAATAGATGTTAAATTCCAACATCTTTGGGAACAGGCAGTCCCTGGTAAACAATGGTGCAATGGAATATTGTGATGCAAGAATAAAGAAAATAATGTACATCATGTACATTACTCAATGTACTACATTGTAATGATGTTTGTTGGATCATATAAAACAGATTACTGTTAAAGACATGAAAGTATAATTATTTTATTAACTTCTGGCCTCTCAACACAGATCTGTCCTTTTTATGTTAACTTAGTCACACTTGGTAATTTTGCTAAATAGTTAACACTATGAAAGTAGCAATCCCAAATATTAATAGATACAATGTAGCCTCCTACGCAGGCAATTTCTATTGTAACAGTAACACTGACCGCGACCAGTTCAATCTCTCCCCGTCCTACTTGTTGTCTCAAACAGGACAATGAAGCCTGCAGAGAAGGCTAGAATATAGACTGGCTGAAAACCTTGAGATGATTTAATCTGAATGAAAGTTTAGCTGCAGGGCTGACAAAATAACAAAAATGTACATAGTTCTATTAAAATAATACCTGGCCTCCTATAGATGAGACAAAGACAATATGTCCTTTCCTTCTCTCTTTCATTCTTTTGACTACAGAGTGACTTGTGTACACCCCTGCCAAGTAATTTGTATTTATCATGGCCTGTGATTGAAATGACAGCTGATTAGTCAGATCAATAATATTTTTACTTATCGTTAACATAGCTGCATGAAATGACTGCCTGACTAGGTGAATGAATGATTGACTGACTGACCAACTGACTGACAAGCTGACTGATAGACTGACTGACTGACTGACTGACTAAGTGACTGACCAACTGACAGACCGACTGACTGACTGACTGACCAACTGACTGACTGACTGACCAACTGACAGATCAACTGACTGACTGACCAACTGACTGACCAACTAAATGATCACCTGAAAAACCACTCTGGCCAGTTGGCTCATGTTTTCAATGTCACTTCATTAAGTTACACTTTTCTGTAACTGGGGTAAGGAAAAAACTATAACAATAGAATAGATGAATATTTACCTTGAACTGATCAACTGTAGTTTCTTCAAACAAACCACAAACTGCAAAACCGGCACAGTTTATAAGTATGTCCACAGGACCAAGGCTCTCACAAGCCTGCACACGAAAGCCAAGATTAATACATGCTCTATTGTTGAAGATGTGATTGCAAGATGACATTATATACCCAGTTGTGAGTGCTCCAGGGCAAGGTTTAGGTTTTCTTTTTGTCACACTAGTTTGGTACCACCACGTACAGTACAAAAGATCATCATAACACTTCCTAATATTTATAACTTACATTTAATTAATATATTACAGCACAAGCTAAAGGTTGCTAATGTGTGCCACCCTTACTAGAAAAATATCACTTTGCTGAGTGATTTACTCACCTTAAATTCTCTAATAAGTCCCCTGGGGGGGGGGGAGGGGCTTCTTTATTTCAAACACATTTGAGGGGGTGGGGGGAGCTTAAAAGAGACAGGGGGTTCACTTGAGACAACGGGGGCTTAATTGATTTTGCAGAGACAGAGGTATCAGTTCTCCATAAAGAACTAGAATGCAAAGTAGAAAAGCTCAAGTACGCAAAGTTGGAGGTCATACAACTGAGGATCAAAAACAAATCCTAACTTTCACCTGGTGAATAAACCTTCCTGGATCAGTCCACAAAAAGTGTAAGTCATGACTTACTAATAAAGTCCAGGGTTGTCATTAAGAGGCAGGGGCTGGGGATTTCCCCTCACCTACAATGAACATTGCCCCCGCCTATTTTCGTAGGAAAATAGAAGAAAAATAGAACCAAAAGAAATCCCCAGCTGTTTGATTTCCCACCTACTTGTTGTATTTTATATTAGCCAACTTGGTGACCGCCCTGAAAGTCGATCATCTATTGGTCAATAATAATAAGGGGGAGGATGTCACAGTATAGGTCATGTGTTACGTGTCGCATGTACTTTAATTATACTGTTAAAGTAGAGGGCCTCTGATGTAGCGGCCATGTTAAAGTTGTAATAAATGTGCAAAGAAAGTAAAACGTGGTTGTCAGAAGCGGCATGTGACTAGAAGGTCCTAAGACTCGCAAGCAACAAACTGCAAGATACCTTTTACTGACTTAGCGACAAGCTGGATTAAAGCAAGGAGAAATGAGCAACTTAATTGGCTTCAAATTACCAAAAATTGATTGGACTCCGGGTCCCAATTTGGCACAAAGGCCGAAACTCTTCAAGCAAAAGTGCAAATTACTCTTTAATGGCCCTCTGAAACCAAGGACTGACGAACAGAAACGCAAATATTTACTCTTTTGGATGGGTGATTATGGATTAGATCAGTACAACACATGGAACTTTTGTGGTGGTAGGTAAGCCTGTGACCAACTGAAGAATCTTTTAGCAAAAACATCCATCGTGCGCACAGAGGAAGTAACAGAAAGATGCAATTAGTTGCCATGATGACAAATTACAATCAAGTTAATCTCCTTGACAAAAAAGATTTCAGCAAGGGCAAAACTCAGCCAAAAAGAAAACCTGGAAAGGGGTGAGGAGGTCACAAAGGGAAAGAACCTAAAACAGACTGACAAATCCAAATCTGGGTGTAGGAGATGTGGTGGTGCACCTCATGATAACCAGCAAAAATGTAAAGCACTCAATTCAAAGTGCTTTAACTGTCATAAAGTTGGACACTAACAACATATGTGCTTCAAAGTGAAACCCTTAGGTGTAAATAGACTCCATGGTAAAAGCAGCAACCAAGGGGAATATGACCCTTATGTAAATATCTTGTTAGGAACATTAACTGCAGAGCACTGTTCACAGTCAAACAATTGAACAGGTGAAATTGACAACATCCAGTCACACCAGGACCACACCAAAGTACTGATTGAAATGCAGTTAACTGCCAAACCATGCCACAGGCACACCACCCCAATCATATGCAAAATTGACACAGGTGCAGAGATGAATTTAATTTCTATGCAAGTTTTTCAGAAAGTAGTAACAGACCCTAGGCAGAGGCAACTTGGTCCACCCCAGTGCAAAATCACCGCTTATGGAGGAGACATTGTAGAGAACCCTGGCTCTTGTCAGCTGTATATACCGGTACACCACAAAGGACATGTAAGGGCAGTCACCTTCGAAGTAACCAAAGTCCTTAGCCCACCAATGTTGGGGTGTAAAACTTGCAGTGACTTAGGACTTGTGAAATTTAACTGCAACCGTACACAGAAACTGGAGGGCAAAGAAGCAACCAATCCTCCAGCCAGCAACCAGTCAGGTGACATATCTTACATCCCGCTCACCAAAGAGAAACTTCTCACTGACTTCCAAGACCATTTCAATAGATTAGGAGAATTCCATATGACACCATACCACATAACCCTTCAACCCAGGGCAGAGCCTATCGTCCACCCTCCACGGTCAGTACCAGTCCACCTACATTGTATGAGAGCTCTATAAACAAGAGATTGACAAGATGTGAGAGTTAGGTGTCATTTCCAGGGTCACACACCCACAGACTGGGCAAACAGTACCGCCCTGTAAGAGTCAGCTAACGATAAGGGAGAAATCACAAAGCTGAGAGTCTTCCTAGACCCACATGATCTAAATAAATGGACCAAGAGAGAACAGCATTACACCAAGACAATTGATGAGGTGGTGACCCAGTTGAGTGATGCCAAGTTCTTCACCCTAGTAGATGCTACGAAAGGATATTGGCACCTCCCACTGGATGAACCCAGCTCGTACCTTACTACATTTGGTACTCCCTTTGGAAGGTTCCGATTCACCAGGCTACCTTACGGCCTCATTGTTTCCCAGGACATATCCCAGAAACAGCTTGACTCAGCACTTGAAGGCCTCAGTGGTGCCACAGGCATAGCAGATGACACCTTCACCATTGGTTCCACAGAACAGGAATATGGCAAGAATTTAGCCAGCCTGATGGAGTGCGCCCGACAGAAAGGTATAGTATTCAGTAAAGAGAAGCTGCAATTCAAAGGTAAGGAGGTCCATTTCTTTGGATGCACCTGGAGGTGTGAGGCCAGACAGCAGCAAGGTAGCAGCCATACAAAGCATGCAACCCCCAAAAGATGTCAAGAGCCTACAGAGCTTCTTGGGCCTAGTCAACTATCTTACAAGGTACTCAGCTCGCCTGGCCACCATTGCTGCACCCCTTCGAGTATTCATGAAGAAGGAAGTAGCCTACATATTGGGCCCGGAGTATGAACTTGCATTCTCTGCAGTCAAAGAAAAAGTATCTACTTTTGGTGTGTTGAGGTACTTTGACCCAGCAGAAGAAACAGTAATCCAGGCAGATGCTTCGTTGAAGGGCCATGGTGCCATCCTCCTACAGAATGGTCAACCTGTGTGTTATGCATCAAAGGTACTCACGAAAATTACAGTAACATTAAGCGTGAAGCACTAGGTCTAGTATGGGAACTTGAGAGATTACATTATTTTATTTATGGTAAACAGTGCACTATCCAAACAGACCACAAGCCACTGGAGGCAATCTTCAGAAAGGAACTATCCAGTTGCCCAGCAAAACTCCAAAGATTTGTACTGGGAGCACTTAAGTATAACGTAAAAGTCACTTATGTCAAAGGCACTGACGTACCAATTGCAGATGCACTGTCGAGAGTTTCACTTCAACCTGCAGCAGCCAATAGCCAGCTACCACAGCTTGACATCTGTTATGTCACAAACAAGCTCTCTGCATCACAAGCAAGATTGCAACACATCTGGGAGGAGACTACCAGTGACCCCACCCTAAACGGATTGAGAGAAAAAATTTTCAGAGGATGAGCAGACGAAAGAGAGAAATGCCCAGAGTCACTCTATGACTACTGGAGCTTCCGCGAAAAGCTTACTATCAAAGATGGCCTTATACTGAAGGCAGACTGAATTGTTGTACCATCAAGTCTGTGTAGGGAGATGTTGAGTATTATCCATCAAGGATACTTAGGCCGAGAAAAATGCCTGCTAAGAGCTAGCACATCCATCTTCTGGCCCAGTCTAACTAAAGATGTTATCGACCTAGTCAAGGAATGTGAACCCTGCCAGAGACATCAACGCTAACAGCAGAAACAGCCAATTGTCCAGCCAGAGCCACCAAGCTACCCATGGCAGAGGTTGACCTCTGACCTGTTTGAATTCAAAGGTCATGAATACCTGCTATTATCAGACCAGTACAGCAAGTTTCCTGTAATCACAAAGCTCACTAGCATGTCCTCACAGGCAATAGTGACTCATCTTAAGAGCATCTTTGCAGAACATGGTATCCCAGCCCAACTGGTCATCGACAACGGACCACAGTACAGCTCCAAGGAATTCAAAGATTTCACAGAATCCTATGATATTGAGCACTTTACCAGTTCCACCCATTATCCACAAGCAAACAGGTCCTTTGAATGCATAGCAGAGACAGTAAAAGAACATACTGACTAAGTGTGATGAAGAAGGAGGAGATCCCTACCCAGCACTGTTATCATACAGAGCCACACCTATTGACCACCACCTGAAGTCACTGGCAGAGCTACTAACCAATAGAAAGTTCAGAATACTGTTACCAATGTCCAACCGTGAAAGCCTTACAGCAGATTCGGGGCAAGTTAAGGAGCAGTTGAAGAGGCAGCAGGACCACTATCGTCACTTTTATAACCAAAAAGCGAAAAGCAGGCCTAACACTCAAACCACTCCACCCAGGCCAGCTAGTACGGATACTTGACCATCATATTAAGACCTGGGAACCAGGAACCATCCTGAGAGAAGCAAGAGAACCTCAATCGTACAACGGCAAAAATAACACCACAGAAGGTGTATACCGACGAACAAGATCACACCTCAGGCCAGACACAACAAGTTCCTGTGCACAGAGTCCTGCACCGGTTCAAGTACCCAGAGCAGTCACGAGACCAACATCACCATTCAGGGAAATGGAGCCACCCACAAGTACAGTTGGTCAACCACCAGGAAACAGTCCAGAGCTTAGACCTCCTGCAAAGATCGAGGTGCCCCCAGAGACAAGTGGCAGGTGCAGGACCAGATTTGGGCAGACAGTGAAACCACCAGATAAGCTAAACATTTAGACAAGTGCTATTGTTTTGCATTACAGTTTTAAGTTAGGTCAAACTGGACATTTAAAAAGCGCTATTATTCTCCATTACAGAGTTAAGTCAGATGGAACTCAGCATTTAAACGCTATTGTTCTTTGTTACAGTTAAGTCTAATAACCAAGGCATGTTACAGTTTTCATACAACTCTGATTTAGCAGCAGCTTATTGAAGATTTCTATTACCCTTGGCATTGTTGTAAAGAGGGGGATGTCACAATATAGATCATGTGGTACGTGTCACGTGTACATTATGCCAAGTAGTCGGCTTCACGTGGAGCGGCCTTGTTTGAGTTGTAATAAATGTGTGATTATTTCCTTCCCCTGAAAAGGGAGTGAAAAGGGAGGGTGTATTAGAGAGGGTGGCTTATTTTAGAGGGGAGAGGGGGGCTTTACTAGAGGATTTACAGTAACCTATGAGACATTATCTCAAATTACAGCACAGCACTCCAATCAGCCACCATTTTTGTAACTATTGGTGATCAGAAGGAAAAAAATTGGTACCTGCAAAAACTGCACCAATTTGTCAATTTAATGACAATAAATTTGTTTTTGGCAGTGATATGTCAAGCAGTAGTGTTTTTGTTAGTTGTGTCTAGGGCTGGTCTTTCTTCAGCTACAGTGACATCGACATTTGCACAAAAGAATAACTTACGCTCTCCCACATTTTCTTATTATCTATTAAAAAATGTTTGCCTCTTCTACACTGGTTGTTCAGGTTTAAAGCCTTGAGATGTCGTGTGTTCCCTCAAATTCCATCGCGATAGTTGAGTAACCATTTCAGTTATTTCAAACCTTTCGTGAGCAATAGAGTGTATAAATACTGTACAATAGTGAACAATCTATATGATTATAAAGTAAAATCAATCTTATTCAAAAACACTTCAAAAAAAGAAAAAGATCCACAATTTTTATAACAAACCTGATCTATTGTGTTTTCCACATCTTGTGCATCTACAGTGAGGTCTACAGAAAATGCCAGAACCTGGAGGAGAACAACAATAAAGGCTACTAAGACTTACAGCAGTAGTGTATGTTGTAAGTCTAGGTTCAAGTGCACAAAATAATTAAGTTAAGAATTTCCTTTATTTCCTACTGCCATTTATTCATGGCTCAAATGAGACAAAGGAAATTCTTATCCTAAGAAAAGATTTTACCTTCAATATATAATTATATGGTGTCATTTAATTTCATTCTTTCTTTAAATTTTATTTCCCTTCAATTTAGTTGACTATAGTAAGGTATGAGAATTATTTTATTGTGTCATAATACATGTATCACAACCTTGTTCAAATATCTATATTTGTATCTTAAGGAGAAATATTGCAGTTCACCAATGCATTGGTGTATCTGGCATTGCAGCCCTAGTTTTTGTGCCACAACAGAACAACACCCATACACAAAGACCAACAGACAAACTGGAGGTGATTTACAAGTAGTTGCAAACCTTTCTCTCTGGAGCCAAATGCTTTCTTACTTCTTTCAATGTCTCTTCTAGTCTATCCTAAAACAGAGTAAAGACATTTAATTTCTTATCCCTCCCATACGGAGGGGATTAGAAATTCCTGAATTTGCCGAGGAATGGGCAAACGAACATGGTAATGTAAATTCAATTAAGGTAAACAGTGCCGTAGCAAGGTTAGATTTATTGGGGGGGGGGCACAATCACAAGCACCAAAGGTGTGGGCTGCTGGGGGGGGGGGGGTCCAGGGGCATGGTCCCCTGGAAGTTCATGAAATATAGGGTCTCTGAAATAGCATTTTCAGCCTTCCAAGTCATTAATTTCCAGCAATTTTTAACAAACTAAAATCAGTCTCATGCATTTAAGAAGTGTACTTTGTTTAATACCCGCTTGATTTTTCTTTGTTGAAGCCATAAATAAATAATTTTCTTGCTTTATTGAACTGAAATGAACACATTGAACTGAAGAGAAGCTTGAAGAAGAGTGTGGCTGCTGATCAAATTAAAGGTACCTGTCAAAATTTTGGGGGGAGCCCAGGATCTCCTCGTCCCTCCCCTTGCTACGGCACTGGTAAACATGTTTTTAAGGTCAGAATTACTTGTTCTTGAAGGGTGTTATTCCTCCATTTGCATTTAAATTCCTCAGATCAGAATCAGCCTCATCCAATAATTGCTGATCTATCTTCTATGTTTGCTTAAAACTTCTACAACAAAATAGATTTCTGTTCCTTTGTAGACTTTCTATATGGCCATAAAAATCTTCAGTGCAAATGTAAGAGTGATTTTTTTTTTTCCTCATCGATCAGTGCTTGTACTAACTGGTACCAGGCTCTTGGTCAGTGCAAACGAGCAAAAAAAACAAGGAAGCAGTGAAATAGCAAACAAGCAAAAAAGGGCAGGAACAGAGAGGGGAGAGTATCTTTTTAAATGCGTCAATCCACTCAGTACCTGGTCCACTTCCTCAAAAACCATTTCTCGTATCAAAATGTCAAAAATCAGAGCATCAAAACGGTAGTGTACGAGGGTTTCACATGCTCTGCGTGTTTGTTAGACTTTGCGCACATGAAAACCAAATGATGAAGGTAAGAGAAGAAGTAAACTTTTCAGGGTTCATATACCCTTTTTTTGAAGAAAAAGTTGAAGGACTTTTCAAGGACTTTCAAGGACAGATTTCCCATTTTTCAAGAACTCCATTCAGTGCAAAAAAGAGCCTTGAGTCTGTATTTTTTGGTTCTTCCCCAACATGAGCAATTTTATCTTGAAGGTCTTTCTGCATTTACTCCTTTTTGCCACTTGAGAATCTGAAGGGTTGAATAAAGTTAGTACTGCAATTCAAGGACTTTTCAGCACCAACTGCAATTATTTTTCAAGGACTTTCAAGGACTTTCGAGGACTTTCAAGGTGTGTGCGAACCCTGACTGCTACAAATGACTAATAATAGGGTCAGAGGCACCAAACGTCAATTTTCGAAAAATATCTGTTTGGAAGACGATTTGAGATCTAGAATTTTCAGAACATTATTTTGCTGTAAAATTGCTTGTTTGCCTGCCTCTCCTAGGATTTTCGAACATCTAAAGAATGCTATAACTGCCCATTTTTAGCGGATTTTTACCCGAAAAAGGTCACCTAGAATTTTTGAGAGCCTTTTTCTGGCTGAATTTTTTGAAAAGGTAAGTTTTGATCCCTATAATTTTCGGATCCCTAGAGTTTCAGCTAGGAAATCTGAACAGACAAAAATAGGGGGAATAAAAATATGCGTATATCTACCATTTAAATACTAAAATACGTTTAACCATGCTATGTTTAAGTGGTTTTGAACTATATTCTTGTTGGGTGCCCCTGAAAGGGTGCACCATAAGCACAATATACCTTTATTTGGGTTGATTGAAAACAATGCTTACTGGCTGCAATACTCTGTTTTCTCTCCCCAGCTGCCATGCGGTTTCTGTGCAACCTTTCCTCGATCCGCTTTCCCCACTACCTTAGTTACAGGCTATGCTTTCTTTAGTCAGCTATTTTGGCTTTTTTCCCTACCCCCACCCCCGCAGATTACTCTTTATACAACCCTCACCGCAGTGTGGCTACGGTGTACCTTATAAACTGTTACCGCTCTATATCACGATCATTCAGGCAATTCTAACCATATTCCTCGCCAAGATAGTCACGTTAGCTCCACACTGAGCCATCTTAATGGCCACCGCTTTTCCAATACCACTTGATCCGCCAGTAATCTAAAGAAATAGCAACAGAATTGCAGGCTAGCTGTTGTCACGTGAAGCGCGAAATTTGCCACCAGAAAAAAAAAACGGGAAACCTTACCAGCACATGAGCTCCATTGATCTCCGTCTTCTTTCTTGAAAGGAAATCGAAGATTAAAACTCCAAAAACTCCGATAAAGATTACAAAGATCAACAAATGAAACATACTCTTCGCGGTCACTCCTACACCAGAGAAACTTTGGACTATTCAGTGAACAGTACAAGAGAATTCATTTGTTTCAGAAATTGCCGCTGACACATTCAATGCGATCCTTTCAAGCGCTAAGTCGGGCCGCAATGCTAGGGTTTTTCTCTGGAAAAGAAATTCTAAGTCTGGGATAAGGGTAAAATATGTTATTTGCAATGTGCCTAAGATTCGACAAATGACGAGGCAATACTTCAAAAGATAAAAAGAACTGCAATCAGTGTACCACGTGACAAAGTTTTTCTTTGCCTGTCATTGACAGACTAAAAATTTTTCCTGTTTTGTAAAATTGTTAACCTGGGCTGACAATGGCGAGCCAGCGAGCAGCAATTCGTGCATGCAAATAATGGGAAAAAATAAAGTTTTATGACTCCTTTTTATGAAATTGAAAATACATGAAAAATGTTTTCTGCTAAGTTCCTAATAGGTAAGGGGTTGCTGCTGGAATAATTGCAGAACGACGAGCAATCTTGGTCGACTTTCATGTCTTTCATTGAATTAGGTTATTAAGCGCTCATTTTACTGGGTTAAAAAACACTCATTTCACAGATTACAGGGACCGCGGAGACCATTTTTTACTGGGTTAAAAAACACTCATTTCACATGAAGCCGCCCTCCAAGATGCAAACCAAAGAAAAAGTCAAATCGTTCCATTTAGGTCTTACATCCTATTATCCTTGCACGCACATCGGGTTGTAATCGTTCGGACAAGCAAAGATCCCACTCTTCCATTAGGACTGCATAGTTCTCAAGGATTCGTCGAAAACAACTGGCTCTAACCGTCCACCTTTAAGAGAAAAGTCCAATAATTCTACGATAACTTTTTCCATGTGAACTGGAGACCTAGAAATAAATCCCAGCAAAAAAGTGGTAGGGCTATGGCCCTACCAGCTCCTCCCCCTCCGCGGTCCCTGGATTAGGGTAAAGCGCCTTTTAGGGTTTAAGGAGGTTAAACCATCCTCAGAGACATAATTCGCGCAATTTTTTCCCGCCCGTTTAGAGTTTCCCCCGTCCCCATCTGCCCCTGGGTCTGCGAGGGATCCCGCGAGGATGGGGTTAAACACTTATTTTCAGTTAATGTTTCTCGTATCACTCCTTTAATTTTTTTCCCGATTTTTTTAAAATCTTTTCCCATGGCTCTCATGAGTCGTCAGCTTCATGGACATTTACTTACCGATTTTACTCATTTATTCACTCTTTACATTTATAATGTCATACTGGACTCATCGTTAAAGACAAGGACCTTTGTGAGAATCACAGTAAGGTTAAGTCAGGCCCTGTTAAGTAGAGCTCGAGAACCCTCTACGCTGGCTCAGTAATCTAACTCATCGATTCAGTAGATAAACCGATCACGTGCACTGAAGTTTTGTTGGTTTTTTTTTCACGACGAGAATCTGGCCATTTCTCCCGAAAGTCGATTCGCCCGACAGCAGTGAACAAAACCTCGATTCAGCCGATGTGTACTGTGGGTATACTCTCTGGAATGCGAATGCGAATGTGAATGACTGTACTCAGGCGATTTACAGGGTATAGAAAGGGCATAATCGCAGGTTATGTGGGTCGAAGAGGCTTTTTCCAAGCCAACTTTTGCCACAAAGTATCTCAAATATCGCTCAGGAAGATTTCAAATCCCAGTAAGGAGAGTTGGAGCCTGCATTGAACACGTAATTCAACCTCCGTTAGTAACGTCTGCGGATGAGCCCCGGTATCGTTGTTCTGTGCCCCAACGGACTCAACGAAGCGCGTTTCAAATTTCCTTTTATCCAGATTGGCAAATCGACAATGTTTTTTTAATTTTAAGAGGCCCATCATGGCGTGTACTCAAATCTGGGTACACAGGTGGGGGCCCAGAACAGGGATTTCGGCGCTGTTTGGGACGGTTGGAACTCAACCAGAGTTAAGTTGTGTCTGGTGGAGCAGGCTAGGAGGGTAGCAAATCCCATGTTCATTGCTTTTGCTTTCACCAAGTTCATTTCACTGGACTTTTACTTATCAATCGAAGCATGGACTTTCAGGTAAAACACTTCTCTCTCATCAAAAATAACTTATGATTTTCAGGTCCAGGTTTAGGAGCATAGTATTGAGGAACATACCGTAAAATTCCAAAAATAAGCCCTTCCACGTATAAGCCCCTCCAAATGTAAGCCCCCCCCCCCCCCCCCTTACCCTCGTAACGTAAAAAACCCTCTGTTAAATCGCCCCTCCAAATATAAGGCTTGTACGTGGATATTGCCCTCAAAGCAAAAACGGTAAATTTCCTTCCAACTACAAGGCTAGCCCAATCGATTTTGAAACGCAAATTTCCCTCTGTAGATAAGCCCCTCCGAATATAAACCCCTCCAAAAATAAGCCCCTCAAAAAGGGCCTTTCAAAAATATTACCCCCGCGGCTCATTTTCGGAATTTTACGGTATGGGGGCATTTCAGGTGGCTTGGCTCTTCTGTTTCTTACATCCCATATGGGACATAATACAACAACAATTTGGACTGCTTGTCGGCCCCCTCCCCTCCGACATGAGTCACTTCTGATATGAGAAGTCTATATTTTACATAATTTTCAATCAAAATTGTAACTTTCAGTTGCACTTCATTAGTTAATTACTACGTATGTAAATACTACTTTAAAATCAACTCTCTCCCATAAGGGGACTCCTTTAGTACCCCAAAATTCTACTGTTTACTGCAACACAAATAATAGCTCTGGAAAGTAGATTTCAATATGGTTTAACTTTCTGAAATAGGCAGCATGAAATAAATTAAATTTTTGTGTTGTTCTCCAGTGGTTAGCTAGTCATGTACTTGTAGATATTTATTTTTTGGCGTATTTTTTATTCACAAGAAATTTGTTTGGAAATTGTGACCACCCCCACCCACACCACCCAACAAAAATTAAAATTAATCTCCTGGGTGAAACATTTTATACATTAACACTCAATGTCCCCTCATTGCACATAGTTTGTTTCTCACTGTCAAGAACATCGTTACAAGCAGTTTCCAGCAAGGGTAGCTCATCAGCATTCTTTAAAAGCTCGTGAGCTTTAGAATCTCTCAAAACAAAAATAGTAATGCCCGATTTATATACAGCAGGGATTGTGATATGTGTCATCAACAGCTCCTTGTATTTGATCTCATTACCATGGAGTAGTAGTAAAGTTTCCTCTTTTACCATAAGATCAATTTGCTCCTGTACATTCAATTCCTTCCATCTGTCTCCCTCTGAATTCCAACACAAGTAGTCAAGGGTATTATTCCATCTTTGCAACACATCATTACGACGAATAAGAAGCACTGAATCACTACAGAGCTGTTCGGAAACAACACCAAATGGAATCACTTCATTTGGGTTAATGAGATGTACACCATTCTCGCTAACACCACAAATAACTTGGTGATGCCAAGCATCTGGGATTGTTCCATCTGACAAACAGACCTTTTGACAATTGAGTGTTGCCAAAGGTATCCCACCATTACTAAGCCAGTACTTTAACCAGATTGACAAGTCAAAGTCACGAGCAGGGAACATGTGAAAAAAACGTCCGATAACATTACCCTGAGACAACTTGTCAAGACCCTTGATAAGGTCAGTATGTGTTGTTCCTGCTACACTGCGCGACAAGAGGTACTGAGGTAAAGGAGCGTCAAGATCCCTTAATTTCGTGCTGACAGCTTTAATTGCAGCATCAACCTCGGCAGTCTTTCCAAGCAACTTCTGTTATAAGACAGTAAGAATTGTAAGTTCATCAGTAGATCTGTTTAATAGCTTGCATACATTGCTTTCACAATACAGGTCATGTCATTGCTTACAATAAAGGTCATGTGATGTTTTCAAGTGAATAATTCTTACCTTTTTTGCAAACATTACATATACTTTGAATGGGAGTAATTTTAAATAAACAGGGCCTCAATATATTAAAATCCTAACATGATTTTGAGGCTTTCTGATAAAGATTTCTATATTTAGGTTGGTATTCTTTAGCTCCAGTCTCTCAGTTTGGCAATTTGTTCCTAAAGCTTCATAGTCACGTTAGAGTAATTTTGATACAGTTGAAACCTCCATTAGGCAGCCACTCTCTATTAAGTGGCCAGAATTGAAAATCCCAAAATAATTGTAGAAAAGAATGGGAACTTAAACCTCTATTAAGCGACCATACATAGCCACCTTTTGGCCATCCTAAAGAGAGTCCTCTCATTTTAGTCACCTCTGTTAAGCGGCCATCAAGCACTTGATACACGAATCATACACTTAGTCTGGCTTTATTTTAAGAATATGATGAAGTAAAATACAGTCCGAGATAGAAGGTGGCGACTGATCATGGACCAGTAATACGGCTCTGTTGCATGTTTGTTTCAAAATAAAGTGATTTCTGCTCTGATTACGCTCATGTTATGCTTATTTATGGCGAACCTCTATTGTGCGCCTAACCTCCATTCAGCGGCCACTTGGCGGTACCCCAAAGGTGGCTGCTTAATCGAGGTTCAACTGTATAAGCTTATTAAATGTTCACCTGACCTTGTTTTTATCTCTCCATATTTTACCGGTTAATGTAAATAAACAGCTAGATAAAAGTCTTTGTTTTTAATAAGATAGAAGCTACATAAGCTTATCTTATTTTACATATTTTATAAATATGACAGCCAACAGCTGAGAAATGTATCGGTCAAATTGAAGCTTCAACATGCCCCCGCATGCCCCGGGCATTTGACACCTTTGCCGTCCCCGGGAGGAGGGAATTTGATTATCAGAGTCTTCCAGAGGGTGGGGAATTTGATCCCCATGCTTTAGGGGTGGGGAATTTGAACTGCACCCTCGATTTCATGTAAAATCTTTGGCGTGGCGAGCTATGGGGGACGTGGTGTTAGAGGATTTTCGTGGAAAAGATTGTGCCTTTGTGGCCAATTGGTTATGAGGAAAGGGCTTAAACAAGCTTTGTGGCATATTTGAAGTATTTAAATTTTAAATTTTTAATATTGGATTCAGGCTTTGAATGTATGAATGTATTTTTAATACTGTTGTGTTTACAATGAAATACAATACCTATAGCAGCGATTCAATACAACAACATAAAATAAAATAAAATAAAGTAAAAAGCTCAGGTCAACTACTTTGACCTATTGCAATTTATGTTAATTAATAAGGTGAGCGATGATGCATGTCAGTGAAATGGTCATGATGTAGTAATCTCAATAGGTGGGATCTTTTTTATAGAACACTTTGTATGTTGCATGAGAAAGAAAAGCTGAGCATTCAGCCGCTAATTAATCGATTAGAGAAATAAATCTAAATGGTACTTCTATATCTGAACCATCCGACTTGTCGAATGCTTTCAATGATCATTTCTCATCAATAGGACCTAAACTTGCTAATGACATCCCATTATCTAATAACAATGACCACTGCCATCGGAAATATGTCAAAGGCATTAACAATAGATTCGAGTTCCGCCCTACTGATAGTGGACAGGTTTTAAAACTACTGAATAAACTAAATAAGTCTAAAGGAGCTGGTCTCGATAAACTATCAAGTCGGCTTATTCGTGAATGTGCTGACCTTATTTCACCATATATCTCGATTATTTTTAATTGCTGTTTAACTACCGGCACATTCCCTGATGACTGGAAATTAGCCAAAGTTACGCCTATATTCAAGCAGGGCGATAGAAGTGATATGAACAATTATCGCCCAATTTCTGTGATCTCAGCAATAGCAAAAGTCTTCGAGAGAATAGTTTATAATCAGCTTTCTTCCTATTTATCCGAAAATAATATTTTGTCAAAATATCAGTCTGGTTTTCGATCCTTTCACTCAACTGTAACCGCTTTGCTCGAAGCCACTGATAATTGGGCCTTTAACATAGATCGTGGCTATGTTAACGCTGTTGTCTTTTTAGATCTAAAAAAGGCATTTGACACAGTCGATCACTCTATTCTATTATCCAAACTATGTTTATATGGAGTCAAAGGAATTGCCTACAAATTGCTTTCTTCTTACTTAGAAAATCGTACGCAAAAATGTTCTGTCAATGGCGTCCTTTCTAAAAGCTGCACTTTAACTTGTGGGATTCCCCAGGGGACAATACTGGGGCCTTTGCTGTTTCTCTTATACATTAATGACTTACCTAATTGTTTATCTAACTCGCAACCAAGAATGTACGCGGATGATACTCACCTAACATATGCTGACAATGACATCTGCTCCCTTGAGGCTTCTTTAAATCAGGACTTGTTAAATATAAACAATTGGCTCATTGCCAATAAATTGACTCTCAATATGACTAAAACTGAATTTATTTTAATCGGATCAAGACAAAAATTGAATAGTCTATCCGTTCTCCCAGACTTAGAAATTAATGGCACACGATTAAACAGAGTCGATTTTACCAAGTCTCTTGGTGTATTAATTGATGAAAATCTAACATGGAGTAATCATATCAACGCTATATCTAAAAAAATCTCTTCTGGTATTGGATCTATTAAACGAATAAGTCGCTGTGTTCCTCCTGCAACTCTACATAATATCTATCATGGGTTAGTTCAATCACACTTCGACTATTGTAGTGTTGTTTGGGGTAACTGTGCCAAAACATTATCTGACAAATTACAGAGACATCAAAATCGTGATGTCCGCGTCCTTACCTATTCTAGTTATGATGCTGACGCCAACTGTTACATGTAGAGATTGTACTAAAAACAAAACAACCGGAAGCGGAAACGAGTCTTGTGTATGACGTATTCATCCGGGTTATCAGAAAAGAGAGCGCGAGCTGAACGAGGGACGAGAGAAAAAGAAACGAAATAAACATGTGAAGCATGTGAAGTGTAAAGAAGTTTTACGGTTTATTTGTGGACTCATCAAACAAGGGTAACATTTTGGCGACCCTGCCAGGACGAACTTCGATTCTCAAGTCCGTGGGACGTTATTTGTTGTCAAGGGAAGCAGAAATGGTCAGAATTGGAGCTAAGGAGATTGTGAGTGGAGCGGTATGAACACGTGGATTTGCAGTTGAGGAGACAAGCGGCGACCGAAAATAGTCAGATGCGTACGGTAGGACTTTACAATATTGGGGCTCTGTGACGGTGGAGTACATTCGCTAGTTGTTTTGTGTTCGGCAAAGTGGGCGAGTTGATTTGTTCTGTCGGCTCACTGTCACCGGAATTACAGCGTTTGCGCTAGGTTACTTGTGTTCAGTTTGGAAATAAGCTTTCGCGGTTAGAATTAATTATGGAACAATTACAACTCCAAGTAGAGTCTCGATTGTTCGAACAAGATGAGAAGGGTTTGGCTGAAATGATAGGACTATTGGGAATCGACGATGACCTTGCGGGTAAAAGTAAGATGCAGAGAATCAAAATTATTACGAAAACCTTCGACAGCAAAATGGCGGGCGATGAAAAGGAAGCACGAGCGTGCCTCGAACAGCTACTTGCTTTTGTGACCGGCACTGTACCGCCCCTCGAAGAGGTAGAGCAAAAACCAGCAGCTTCAGGAGTAAAAACGGAGAAACAATCTTCTGACGGAGGACCTAAACAAGAAAAGGGAGTGGAAGATATATTGAGTCAGTTAGCGAAAACAAAGTCGAGTTCATCTTTGCTACGTCGCGAATTTAAGATTTCTGGTCAGATCGGCGAGCCAGGGCAAACAGAGAAACTAACTTTTGTTTCCTTAATGCATCAAATAGACTCAGGGCTAAAACGTGATTACCAAGAAAATGAAATTGTGGATGCAGTGATACGTGCCATATCTCCACACAGTAGTCTTCGGAGCTATGTTGAGACTCTAAGTGACCTCTCACTAGCTAAGCTACGAAGGATCCTTCGTGTCCATTATAGAGAGAAAACAGCCTCAGAGGTGTATCAGCAATTGGCCACCGTGTGCCAACACAGTAGTGGTGAATCCCCACAACAGTTCCTTCTCCGTGCGCTGGACTTGCGTAACAAGGTGAATTTTGCAAGTAAGGAGTCAGATTGCGAGTTCAATTACGGTGCCTCCCTGATTCAGAAAACCTTTGTAAAATCATTTGAAACTGGTCTTCGTGATGACATCCTTGCATCTAACTTAAGACCCACCTTACGCACCTCGGGACTCACCGATGAAGAGCTCATGCGGCAGGTGAATGAATTAGCCTCGCAACAAGCAGAAAGGAGTTCCAAGCTGGCTAGTGAGCGCCAAAAGTCTGCCAAAGTTCATACATGTGAGGTAGGCAAAGACGAGAGAGAAGCAAGAGCTAAGAATGCCACTACAGATAGAGGTCAGCAGCTTTTGCTAGAGATCCGTCAGATCAAGTCAGAGATAAATGATCTCAAGGATCAAGTCAATCGTCGAGGGAGCCAAGCAGAAAATTCTAACTGGCGTGGGCCATCCTACAGGGGCCGTGGGCGTGGTTATCAGCCAAACCGTACTAGTTGGGGTTGTCAGAATTGCAAGCAGAGGGGAAGAGGAGATGAATGTAATCATTGCTTTGCTTGTGGTGACTCGGGGCATGTGGCTCGGGAATGTTACCGTAACGAGAACCGGGGTAGTCGACAGGGAAACGGTCGACGACTATTCCGGCGGGACGCGGAATAGTCGACAACAGTAGTAACAAGTCCCCCCGATGTAATGGTTGTCGGAAAGTTCAGTCAGAAAAGGCAAAGTTCTTACAATGTTCAAAGTGCAAGGCAGTGAAGTATTGTAGCCGGAATTGTCAGAAGAAACACTGGCAGGAACACAAAGTGTTGTGTAATGCGATTGAGTACCTGTCAAACAAAGCAAAACAAGAGAATGCAGATCCCAGTAGTAGCACCTTTGTCAGTCACCTAACACCACAGCAGCACGCCACAGTAGTAGGATTGGTAGGAAAGAGGTGTACTGTTAAGGGGGAGATCAATGGCCAAAAGGTAGATGTACTTTGGGACACTGGGGCCCAGGTGTCCTTAATATCTGACCAGTTAGTAAGAAGGAATTTCCCTGGGATCACTATTAAGAACATATCAGAGTTGTTAAATTCTGAACTGAACCTGACCGCAGCCAATGGTGGTGAGATACCATACATAGGATGGGTGGAGCTTAACTTTAGACTGTTGTCGTCTAAGGAGGAATTGGCAGTTCCCTTTCTTGTTACAGACCAATCATTAGACACGCCAATAATCGGCTTTAACGTGATTGAGGAGGTTGTTAAAACCAGTAGTGAGGATGCTATGCTACATCAAGAAATTACTTCAAGTTTTACTGAGTTAAAAAGCAAGAATGCTTCAGCATTAGTGAATTTTATCCAAAGCCGTAATCAAAGTGATCTCTGCTTGATCAAGACCATGAAGCATGATACTATTATACCTCCCAGACAAAGTCAAAGTGTGACTTGCAGAGCAAACACAGGGCCTGTAGAGAGAACTACTCCAGTACTGTTTGAACCGGATGAGTCTAACCCATGGCCTAGCGGGTTGGAGATTACAGAGACTTTGTTGACTGTAAAGAAAGGGAAATCAAGTAAAGTGGAAATTGACATTGTTAACAATACCAACCATGATATCAGACTCCCGGGACGAACCTTGCTCGGGCGACTACAACTTGTACAATCAGTTACACCAGTAGAAGTTAGGTTAAAGGACTCTAATGGGAACATGAAAACACCTGATGAAGAGAGTACAGAAGCAAAAGTTGCTGATCAGGCTACAACATGTACTGGAAACGCCGGAGGCCCACCGCTTATACCTCCACATGCTGAAGAACCTTTGAGTACTTCATCACACATAAAGGACATAGACCTAAGTGGTCTCAATGCCCATCAGAAGGAAGTGGCACTTAAATTACTTACCGAGGAAACAGATTCATTTGCAAGGGATGACAGTGATGTTGGCTGTATTAGAGACCTTGAGTTAAACTTGGATCTTGAGGATCAAACCCCTGTTCAGAAGAACTATGTGGCAGTGCCAAAACCACTATACCCAGAGGTAAAGGCTTATATTGAAGATTTGTTAAATCGTGATTTCATCCGAAAGTCCTCCTCGTCTTACAGTTCACCGGTTGTTTGTGTCAGAAAGAAGGACCAAAGTTTGCGGCTATGCGTGGATTACAGAGCACTGAACAAGAAAACGCGACCTGATCGCCATCCGATACCGAGGATACAAGAGACTTTAGATAATCTCGGTGGGAACTCTTGGTTTTCAGTACTAGACCAGGGCAAAGCTTACCATCAAGGATTCATGAGCGCTAAAAGTCAGCCTTATACAGCATTTATCACTCCATGGGGTCTCTACGAATGGGTGAGGATCCCATTCGGACTCTCCCGAGCCCCAGGGGCTTTCCAACGATTTATGGAGAACTGTCTAGGAGACTTACGGGATACTGTTTGTATACCCTATCTGGACGATATAATCATATTCAGTGCGTCCTTTGAGGAACATGTTGAACATACACGTAAAGTCCTGCGTCGGCTGCGAGAGCATGAAGTTAAACTGAAACCGCGGAAGTGTAAACTGTTCAAAAAAGAAGTTGTATTTCTTGGACGCGTGGTGTCTGAGGAGGGCTACAAGCTAGACCCCTCCAGTATCAAGCCAGTGCTTTCTCTCAAGGAATCATCTCCCAAGACAGTTAATGAAGTGCGCAAACTAATGGGGTTCTTAAACTACTACCGTCGATATATAAAGAACTTCTCAAAAATTGCAAAACCAATCTATGATTTAATCAAGATAACAGATCCCCCTTCTGAAGGGTCCATGAGAGAAAAACCAAGGCAAGGCAAGAAGAACCCTTCACAGTTACCGCCAAGGCACCCAGTTGTCTGGACCAGCTCTCACCAATCCGCACTAGATAAACTTATTGATTGTCTGACGTGTGCTCCAGTCATGGCCTACCCAAACTTTGAGAAACCGTTTGTCCTTCATACAGATGCCTCTAAGGATGGGCTTGGTGCTGTGCTGTACCAACACCAAAATGATATCCTTCGCGTTGTTGCTTATGGGTCACGCACTTTGACTCCTGCCGAGAAGAATTACCACTTACATTCTGGAAAGTTGGAGTTCCTTGCACTAAAGTGGGCCATCTGTGACCAGTTTAGAGATTACCTTCATTACGCCCCAAGCTTCAAAGTGTACACAGATAATAATCCGCTTACTTATGTCCTGTCCTCGGCTAAACTTAACGCGACAGGCCTCCGCTGGATAGGTGACTTGGCTGATTTTAATTTCACAATTCACTACCGACCGAGAAAAGCGAACATTGATGCTGATACATTGTCGCGAATGGCGCTTGATGATATTGCTTATATGGAGTCGTGCACAGAGGTTATACCGCATGAAGTCCTCCAGACTGTCGTGTGTTCTGCAAAGCTTCAAGAGGAAGGAACAGTGAATTGGATCTCAGCTCTTTCAGGAGACCCTGCTACACTCGAATCAGATATGTCTGATGGAGGAAAACCTAGTGTACCGCAACTTGACGTAAAACAAGCACAAACTGAGGATCCAGTCATCAATCGAGTAAGAGAGTTGATTCAGTGTGGATTGCGCCCAACGACAGCCGAGAGAAAGAAAGAGCCAAGGGATGTGCAGCTGCTCCTTCATGAATGGAATAGCCTGTCAGTTGACAAGGATGGGATACTCCAACGGTGCACAAGAAGTCGTACTCAAATCCTCATTCCAAAAAAACTGCGCTCACTGATTCTTAAGCAGTTGCATGAGAAAATGGGTCATCTCGGAGCGGATCGCACTTTACACCTAGCCAGAGAGCGCTTCTATTGGCCACACATGCAGACCGACATTGAGCACTACATTGGGCATGTCTGTCAATGTGTTAAACGTAAACCTCCGACTCTCAAGATCAGGGCTCCATTACAACCCATCACCACTACTGCACCGTTCGAACTGATTGCTATCGACTTTCTCCATCTGGAGAAGAGCAGTGGAGGGTACGAATATATTCTTGTTGTGATGGACCACTTTACTCGCTATGCGCAAGCTTATGCTACAAAGAACAAGTCAGCCAGAACAGTCGCTCAGAAACTTTACAATGATTTCGTCCTTCGATTCGGCTTTCCTTTAAAGATTCACCATGACCAGGGAGGAGAGTTCGAAAATCGTCTTCACCGAGAGCTTGAGAAGTTGTGCGGCATGGGACACTCCCGCACCACCCCTTATCATCCACAAGGGAACGGACAAGTTGAACGATTCAATCGCACTTTGTTGAATATGCTCCGCACCCTACCAGAGACTCAGAAATCACGATGGGCAGATCACCTTAATCAAGTCGTACACGCATATAATTGCACGAAGAACGAGGCCACTGGTTTCTCTCCTTTTTATCTGCTATTTGGCCGCCACCCTCGTCTGCCAATCGACCTGATCTTTGGCATTGACAGGACAGGTAACCAAGGCAGCCATACTCAATATGCAGCGCAGTGGCAGAAGGCAATGTCAGAGGCTTATGAACTAGCAAGCAAACGGGCAAATGAAGGGAGCGACAGAGCCAAACAACGCTATGATCATCATGTCCGAAGTTCAGTGTTGCACCCCGGGGATAGAGTGCTTGTGCGGACTTTAAGCGAACGGGGCGGCCCGGGTAAACTTCGCTCGCACTGGGAAGACCGAATTCACGTGGTGATTAGTCGTAAAGGTGAGGACAGTCCAGTCTATGAGGTCAAACCTGAGACAGGTCCTGGTGGAACACGAATTCTACACAGAAACCTGTTGCTGCCATGTAACCATCTACCAGTAGATGTTGCGAGTAAGACCCCTCACAGACAGAAGTCTCGGAAAGAAATTAGGAGAGAGACAAATCACGCGCCTACAACACTTGTGGAAGAGTCGTCAGACGACGAAAGTGAGCATTACGAGTTGAACTTCGAACCTGAACGGCAACCTGAACTACAAACTGACCATTCCGCAGAGTCAGTCTCCGAGGATATTGCTTGGGAATCAGCGACCGTCTCAGACAGAGGAGAGGGAGAAGATGGTTGCTCGGCAGATGAAGAGCAGGAACATCACCCCCCTGTAGAGGAGACAGCACCCTTCCCTGCAGCGAGTGAGAATGAGGCAGGACCATCGACCCCAGGTAACACTAGTCAGGAAGGCGCCTCTATAGCAGAGTCTAGACCTCAGCGTGACAGACGTCCCCCAGCGGTCTTGACTTATGACACCCTTGGAAACCCAGTGTACCAGGCTACAGCTGTTGTGCAATCACTTATTAATGACAGTGTACCGTTACCATCTACTCCATATGCCCAAGGTCCTCCTCTTGCGTGGCAAACAAGTGTACCAGCTACCTGGCAGCCCCTACCACCAATGACCATGCAGCCGTTTCCTTCATTTCATTATCCAATGATCTTTGGCTACCAGGGGATGCCTCCAACAAACTTTAGTTACCCAGCGAACGTTGGTTGCCATGGACTATATCCGGTGACCTATGGACAGATGCAAATGCCAAGTCCTACATTCTAAGACTGCTGTTCGACAAAAAAAAACCCTAGTTTCGTTTTGTAAAAAAAAAAAACACTTAGATTTCTTTTTCTTGCTCAAGACACCGTCAGAAATAAGTAGAACTTTAAGGAGGGTGAGCCCTCAGGATAGGAAATGTTACCAGAACACTGAATGGCTGCAGCCTTTATGGATTATTGGTACCAATGTAACTACGTAGAAGATGAAATGAGTCAAAGAAGAAAGGATCCTTTAAGTCAGTTTTATTGTACGGAAAACGTGGACTGTTTTGTAGCATTTCCTTAGGAGAATTATCTCTTTAGTTTCCTGTCGTGATTTTTCTTTCACATTTTCATTAAGTGTCAGGGACGACACTTTTCCTCGGAGGGGATGTATGTTAAATGTAGAGATTGTACTAAAAACAAAACAACCGGAAGCAGAAACGAGTCTTGTGTATGACGTATTCATCCAGGTTATCAGAAAAGAGAGCGCGAGCTGAACGAGGGACGAGAGAAAAAGAAACGAAATAAACATGTGAAGCATGTGAAGTGTAAAGAAGTTTTACGGTTTATTTGTGGACTCATCAAACAAGGGTAACACAACCAACTGCTTAAAGAATTAGGCTGGGACAATTTAGAGACTCGACGTCAAAAACTAAAGGCTGAGATGGTCTACAAGTCCTTAAACGGCCTCGCACCGAATTATTTGTCCTCGAAATTCATTCAACGGAGTGATGTGATTGCTTCTTACAATTTGCGCGATTCTGATAATAAGCTTGCAATACCATTGCCGCGTACTAACCATTACAAAAATAGCTTTGCCTATAGTGGTGCAGTCCTCTGGAACAGTCTACCCTCAGCTGCTAGGCAAGCAACATCTCTGACTAATTTCCGACGATTCTTAATTAATTCCGACACGGCATTCATGTAAAACAGGCTTTAATTTAGTTTACTTTTCCTTAATAGTTAGCAATATTTTAAATTATAGAATATTAATCTGTATACATAGTTTCGTATTTAAGTTGTAGCTTTATATTAAATTGTTAATGCCTGATGTATTTACCGTGTTTTTAAATAAAGATGATGATGATGATGATGACCTTGTAGCAGCGATTTCCGCCCCTTTGCACGAGACTTATATTTATAAAGATTTTGTTCGACAACCGAAGGCGTTTCCGCCGTCCTTCTGTCATTTTTGTGCCTGTGAAATGTCCCCGGGGTGGGGGCATTTTGATCACCTGAATGGACCCCAGTGTGGGGCATTTGAACGGCATTTTGGCCCGGGTAGGGGGGAATTTGAACATAAATTTTCAAAAAAGTCAAATGCCCGGGGGGTTGCCCGGGGGGGGCATGTTGAAGCGTCGATTTGACCGATACAAAATTAAAAATAAAAAAACATGGTGGTTTGCAACGTGTTAACATAATTTGTATCTATCTATATGTGCGTGCTAATACTGCGTAAGGTTTTACTTCTTCTTCTTTCTGCATTTTGGCTGTTTTGATTTTCTCTCGGAGATTGGAAAATAGATAAACCTATATGAACTTAAGGTGAATTTAATAAAGTGTTTCTTTTTTAAAAATTTTTGCTAATTTCATCTATTTTGTAGAAGTTTAAGCTTTATACTTACCAACAAGTTCAACGCTGCAGTAGCCCCGCAGGCTGAGGCTCCAACTTGTTTAATTTGTTTATCTTCGGCCTCATCCTCGTCCCACAGAACTACTCTCTCCGGAAACTTATATATGTCTTTTCTGTCTGCTGGGCAGTGAAACGACGAATCTGCCGCCATTTTGGTTTGTTTTTACATCAAAACAAATTTAGAGAGGGGTGGTTACTTTTAAGGTGAAAAGAAGCGGTCGAGAGGCTTCTCACTTTAAAATTGTATTTGACATTTTTGGATTTGAAAATTAAAGGTCAAATATAATGCAAAAAAAAATTTCCTCTTCCAGTTTTATTTTCGAGGTTTTCTCTGGGAAAGCAGAAACGGACTAACCCTGCCCTAGGGGACCCGTCCCTAGGGAGAATTTCTTTGCCCCAAGGCAAAAGGCTGGAGAGAGGAGCTAAGTACTTCATATAAGATGATTGTAGTAAGTGAAAAGTAAATGGCGGAAATGTTACAAAGCGGCTTTTGTTACGTTTGACTCGTGTTATTTCACCTTATCAAAATGGCATTTTCTCCCGTAAAATTGCCAAAATTTGGGTTTCTTTATAATGGACTTTACATCACCTGTCGTCACGTTTCGAAATGGATTCCCAGCTCCCTCAGAACTCTTTTGAATATTGATAGTCTTCAAGCTCGTCAAGTCGGCGATCCCATCTTACGAGAACAAGCAGAGATTGTAGACATTTCAACTGTCCACTCCCCCGAATTTAAGCAGATGGTGGAGCGAATGTTCAAGGTTATGAGGAAAGCGAAAGGTCAGGGAATCGCTGCCCCTCAGATTGGCGTTGGGCTTCAAGTATTTGCAATGGAGTATACAGGACAACACATGAAGGAATTAAAAGATCAAGGATGCAGTGATAAAGAGATGAAGCGCATGGGTATTGCACTAGTTCCACCAAGAGTGTTTGTAAACCCTGAAATTAGAATAATTGACTCCACTTTGTTGGCATTCCGCGAGGGGTGTTTAAGCATAGAGGGTTATTCTGCGCTTGTACCCCGAGCTAAAGAGATTGAAATTACTGCTTTGGATATGGAAGCCCACCCTATCACATGGAGGACTATGGGTTGGCCAGCAAGAATCATTCAGCATGAGATGGATCACTTAAAGGGGAACCTGTACATTGATACTATGATGTACAAGTCATTTATGAAAAATGACTGGGGAAATTACATCAAAAAGTAGTACAAGTTACAAGAATTTAGTGTTGATAGGGGCCGGCCAGTTTGAGAAAGCTTCAAAGATTTTCAAACTGACCCTCCTTTCATCCTAACTTTTTAGAATTGATCCATACCTGTTGATTGAGTTATTTTACATTGGTAGGCCTGTGGTGCAAAAGGATGGTCATTCGGTCGGTGTACAGTCACATGATTACCAAATTTGAGGGGATGGATATATTTTCTTATGCATAGAGCTCCGCTTCGCATGCAAGAGAGCTCCGCTATTATGTCTTAAAAGTAATGACAGTCTCAGTCAGGGCCCAGTTGTTTGAATGCCGGTTAGTGCTAACCCAGGGTTAAGTTTTAACCTGGAGTAGTTCATTTTCTTTTTATCAAAAGTACTCTCACGGATCATTTTCTCTTTTTTTAAGAGTATTCAATCATCAAATTGTAGGCAAGGAGAATTAAATTGAATTTGCTTTTTAAGCTTGCATATCTGAGTTCAAATTTCACACTAACCCTGGGTTACCTTAACCCAGCTTCGAACAACGCAGCCCAGGAGCATTAGGCCTGGCTGACTTTCATTTCTGCATATCCTGAAAATTGCATGCATGACTAGTAGGTGCTGACCTCACCAACACTCTGAGCTTTTAAGCTTTTTAGCTCTCTCCAATAACGCATAATTTATTACAAGTGGTCAAGTGATCAATCCAAAAATTTGTAGGCCCCGGCCTACAGGTCTATGGCCTGGGTACACCCGTGTCAGTTAGACTTTCAATATTACTGGACCATTTGGTCAATTATCTAACAATGAATAATTTAATGAAACCCAACTACACCTTTTCTTTTTGTTTTCTTTTGCTTTGTTTTTTCTACACTTATGTCAAAATTTTTGCACTAGATTGAGTGTTATAAGATGATAGAGACCTGATTTCAGAAAATATTTTATTATAAAAATTATCATACAGTCAATAACTTGAACCCTAGCTAACTCAAACCTCACACTAACGGCAACCGAAATCGATTTCCCCTGGATTTCCTTGATACATTTACTACACTTTTACCTTCGGAAACTCATACCCTCGATATCTTGAACCTTTTTGTAACTCAAAGTAATTTTTTTGTTTCTCTTTAGACCAATTCTATAAAAATTTACCCTCAATAACTAGAGCCATGCTTTGAGCACTTGGCAAGTTGAAAAGAGTGTATTGCAGTCGTAAACATTAAATTTAAAATATTTCAAACAAATTATTGTATTCTCTGTCCTTCCTTTTTGTCAGTCCAGTTTAAATACACTGTCCAGCCATGCGTATTTATCAAGCTTTGAAGTGTGCACGTTACTTGCATCCCTTCCCCATCCCATTTCCTTATTTCCGGTTATTTGCTTTGAACTCCCGATAACTTGAACTTCCACTAACTCAAACTTTTTTAATTTCCCTAGAAGGTTTGAATAATTATTGGCAGTCAACTGTATTACTTATGTCTTATTCACTCTATAATCATGTTAATATGATGACCAGGTAACAGACATCCTGTTCAGCTATGACAGCTGGGTCTAAACAAACCAACTACGTGACAGATAAGCCACGCGAACGACTTTGTTAATGCTAAAAGACATGGAAGAGAGAAAACTCTGTTCACAAGGTACCATTGGTTGAGAAAAATGTTAACAATAGTCCTAGTTTGAAATGAACAGGCATTAACTGTGCCAGTCCTCTAACAGTGCACATAAATCAGGGCTCTTACTTAACTGCCCAATCCTATTTTAGATTCATTGACTTTGAACATTCAATCACTTTTTCTTCCCTTGGTCCTTGGTACATTTGCAGTATTTTTCAGTTTCTCCACAGCAACTCCATATGCGTCCATCTCGGCAACAAGGCCATCCAGCCATGCCGCATAGGCAGTCATCTGCATGGTAGGCAAATATCCCTGTGTGTCCGTTAACAGGTCGACGCTTTGAACGAGGATTAGCGGCCTCCCAGTAATGTTCTTGTACTTTCATGAATCCAGGCGGAGGTGACCTTGGTCGTTTCTCTGCCATCTGCAAAACATCATGAACACAAAAATGAACTTTCAAAAACTGTTAGACTAACAAGTTTTCTAGGACCCCATTGGAATCTATTTTAATCTTCTTCGAGTTTGTCCATCCATGCATTATGCCTTCTTCTTTATTATTTGACGTGTTATTAACACCTTCTTTTAATGTTGCTGCCGTTTACGCTCGTGGATGGTACTTTACAAAACGCATGCTCCTTGAATTGTTAACTGACCATATCTTGAGGCCGCTGAGGACCGTGTATTTCTTTAGAGAACATCCCTTGTCAATACAGTCACATAGTCTCAAGCTAAAAAAAGTAATTACAAAGGGATGAACTGCAGGAAATTGCACTCCAGTCCAAGGAGAAACAAATTGGATTTCATCAGTGCCTATAGAATGATCTTGACTGATTCACAGTACAACTAGTGCAGCTTCAGGGTTCTCATCAAGTGCCAGCAACTGGCTTGGGGTAAATGGATAGAGTGAAGGAGTGAAAGCCTTAAATTGCTTACAGCACTTGACTGCCAAGCCGCCTACTCTTATATCCTGGCTGTCTACTTTAAAACTTAATGAGAACCGTGAGCTTCAGCTTAGTGCTCCTACTCAGATCTGATCGCTATCCACAGCTGCTATCCATGAGAATTCAACATCCAGCAAACTACAATGAAGAAGTTGGGAAAAGCAAGTTCAGAAAACCCGTCCACTTTCAATATTTAGTGCTAAAATTGGCTGCTTACAAGGTCCTGCAGAGGATAAAAAGCTTTCATGCTGTATGTATTCTTGTTCACCCGCTTACTAGACTGTGAAATTTTATGCTTCTAATTATTGTATTTTGAATTCATTATAAAATAGTTGTGATTAACCTCGTCTGTACTTTCGTAATTATTGTATATCTTGTATCTTTGGGTGCGTTCGATTGGGAAATCCGGATTTAGATTTTCAAAATCTAAATCCGGATTTCCCAATCGAACGCGAAATCCGAAAACAGATTCCACCTCCGAGAAATCCATCCTCAGGGTGGATTTCAAGTAAGAAATCCAAATCCGGATTTCATGGATTTCCTTTAACCGTTCGATTGAGAAATCCAGAAAAGGATTTGCAAAACTATTCTCGTGAAACATGGTCTTCTTTTTGCTAAGTATGCGTGCGCATGCAAGACCACTGTTCTTAAGGACAGTTTTTCAAATCCCTTTTCGGATTTCCCAATCGAATGGTGAAAATGAAAATCCAAAAACAGATATCTCAGTGTTGAAATCCGTTTTCGGATTTCGGATTTCGCGTTCGATTGCAAATCCAAAATCCAGATTTTAAAATCTAAATCCAGATTTCCCAATCAAACGAATGCATGTACCTTAGTGCCAACCGTGTTTCGATGGCATGGGAAAAGGGAATTCAAGTGCCATTTCCATTTTTCGTTTTCGCATGACATTGAAAAACAGATTTGAATTTTGCTTTTTGTTTTTCATTTTCGCCCTAACTTTGAAAAACGGTTTTGGACTTCGTATTTCGTTTTTCGTTTTCGGATCACTTGCAAAAACGGATATCAATTTCAGTTTTTGTTTTTCGTTTTCGCTGCGAGAAGCATTAAAAATGTATGCAAAATTACTACGCGATGCGAAAATGGAAACGTTTACCACAGAGTGACTGCCCTGCTTATTGCCCGGTCAGGGAGGGAAAGACTGGGATTCCTAGCGTATCCCCCGCCTAGCGGGGAATAAAAATGGAGTGATTATGAAGTGAAAGGCCCCTCATTATCCCGGTCATCCCCTTGGGAAGGGGGAGGGGGGTTTCAAATGACTGGTGTATTAATCCACTTTTCAAATTCATGCAAAAATGACAAACGAAACTCCTACCTGTTTTTCAATAACAAGTAATGCAAAAACGAAAAACGAAATTCAAATCTGTTTTTCTAAGTGATGCGAAAACGAAAAACGAAAACTGAAATTCATATCCGTTTTTCAAAGTCAAGCGAAAACGAAAAACAAAATCTGTTTTTCAATGTCATGCGAAAACAAAAAATGTAAATGGCATTTGAATTCCATTTTCCCATGCCATCGAAAAACAGTTGGCACTAAGGTACACGCATTCAAACGCACTCTTTATGTCATTAGAATAATACAGTTTGAATTCATTAATGCAATTTATCTCTGTAATTTCGTAATTATTGTATATCTTTATGTCATTAGAATAATATTGTATATTGTAATAGACACGTGTCCATACTACCTGCCTCAATTAGCTCCGCTATTTTGCAGGTAGTCTGTATTTGTAATTTATTTTGTGAATGTAAACAAATAAAGCTTGATTGCTAGTGTCAAAACATAGCAGAAAATACAAATCATCACATTCATGAGCAAAAAAAACTACACACATGTAGCTATTCAGATCCAGGCACTTTGGAGAAAACCAGAGATACTAAAACCTTTATTGAAGGGTTATTTAGCCACAATAAAGAGTTTAAAGCTTTAACAGAGGTCACGTAAATCAGTACTAAGTGGCATCTGAGATTAAATCCTGTCAGAATCAAACCACAATATGGATCAAACTGGCTTCACGACCGCTAAATCTTATACTAGGAACAGCAAAAATAAAATTTTCCCAGGCAAAGTTAAAATGCATACTCCCAGCACTGTACTCCATGCTTTTTGCAAAACCTACACGAAAGAAAGAAAGAAGAGAGAAAAGAAGGAAAACCTCCAAGGCCAAGTTTTGCACTATAATGACAAGCTGATGAGTTCATTTAGCCTGTCAACACCATATTTCAAACTTGATCATGTGCTAAAATTTTCAGGAATTGTTGCTTAGGTCTCAAAGCAAACTAGACGCATGCTCAGTAAAGTCCGTTTCAGCCCATAGCAGAGGTCTTTTTCCCCTTCTGCCTGCAGAATACCAGGGAAAAGAGGCCTTTGCTAGCAGGGACTACACACATCACCGCTTAAATGCAATGCCATCTGAGGATGAGGCACTACACAGCCACCCCCCCA